ATCGCGTTGACAGGACGTGCGCAGCCGAGTCGGGTGCATGCAAGTGAAGTTCATACAGTTCAAGTCCGTTTACTTCAGATCTATTGAATGCCAATGAAGTGTATAGAGTTGACCACAAGTGCATGGCATTCAACTCAACGCACTTGAATGCCATGCAGTTCGAGTGCATACACGTCCAGTATACAAGTGCAGTATACAAGTGAGTATGCAACCATATAAGTGCATACACTTAAGTGCATACACTTGTCCAAGTGCATACAGTTCGAGCGCACAGAGTCAAGTGCATAGACTCAACGCACCGCAAATCGATGCTTTCGAGCCAATCGTCTTCTAGTTTTTTCTCTGGGTGTTTTTGCTTAGTCTCTGTCGCTGATGGTTTTATTGTTATTCTGCCGGTTCTTTTTTCGGGCCTCAGGGCCCTCCATCCTAATCCGATGGTGTTTAAGTTTATTCTACGGGTTGTTTTTCTTAGCCTGGGCAATCCGGGGGGGGGGGGGGGATAGAGTCCAAAAAGGGGTTTAGGGGTTTGGCAGATTGAGGAGTTCGGTTTCCACGATCCACCCTGCAGAACAAGGTAGCGTTGGGAATGCTGGGCAATTGGTTCAAGATGGAAGCGGTGGGAGTGGTAGTTGGTGGGGAATGGCTGGCAGTGGCGGGCGGAAATGGCGGGTACATAGTGGCTGGTATTGGCGGGTAAGGGGGGGAATGGTGGAAATGGTGAGGACCGGTAGAGAATGTCTAGCACTTTCTGGAAAGGGGGGAATGGTGGAAATGGTGAAAATGGCGGGTTTTTGGTGGCGCGTAGTGATGCGTAGTGGTTGGGCAATGATCTATAAGTTGTGGGATATCGAATAATGGGGGGAACGGCGGAATTGCGGGTGGGTGGACATGGAATGCTGGGAATGGTGTGCAAGGGCGTGTTTCAGGAAATCGTGGGCATGGTGGGAATCGTGAGTGCTGGTGTGATGGTGGGTATTGTGGCCCGGATGGCGGCAATATGGTGTGCAATGGGGAACATGGCAGGTCATAGAGAATGCGTAGTAGGGGTAAGGGTGCTTGCAAGGAGCACTGGCGAGGCATGGCAGGAGTGGTGAGGAATGGTGAGGAAAAGCAGGATGGTGACTAATGGTGGGTATGGATGGGACTGGCAGGGAAGAATGGCGGGAATGGCAGGTAATGGTGGGAATGGCGTCGATGGGTAATGGTGTTGCATGGTGGGTAGCAGGATGGTGAGTAACCGTAACCGTGGGTGTGTGTGGGACCGGGAATAATAATGGTGGTATGATAGGAATGGTAGGGGATTGGTGGGGAATGGTTGGTAGTGGTGGGGAATGGTGGGGTGGTGGACATTGGGAATGGTGGAATAGCGAGCTGGTGGGCACAATGGGAAATTGAAACGGTGGGAATGGCGAGCTGGTGAGTAAATGTTGGGCGGAAATGTTGGGTAATGGTGGGGATGTGGATGGTTAGGTGGGTCGACATCAGGTGGTGGGTGAGGGTTGGGAAAAGTGGTGGGAATGCTCGGCGGATGGTGGCGGTAATGGGCAGTGGGGTTGGTGGGCGGTAGAGAATGGTTGGTAGTGGTGGACGATGGGAGAATGGCGGAAATGGCGGGTACATGGTGGCTGGATTAAGGGGGGAATGGTGGCGCGTAGTGATGCTAATGGTGGGATTGCGGGGTGGACGGCAACATGGGCGGTAAAAGGTGGGAATGATGGTTCATGGTGCGATGGGGAATGGTCTTCCATTCCATGGTGGGTGGAAATGGAATGGGAATGATGCGCAGGGGCGTGTTTCGGGTAATGGTGGGAATGGGGGTACTGGTGTGTGATGGTGGGCATTTGTGGGGCTGGATATGCAGGGCGGCCAAAAGGTGGGAAGTGGCAGGTCACAGGGGGGAATGCGATGGTTTTGCAGGGGTAAGGGTGCGACCCGCAAAGCATGGTAGGAGTGGTGGGGGGGGTTGGGGGGGCGGGGGGGTGGGGGGTGGGGGGGGTGGGGAGGGGCGGCGGGGGCGGTGGGGGGCGAGTTGGGGCGGGGCCCGGTGGGGGAGGGGGGGAAGGGTGGGGGAGCGGTGGGAATAAGAAAAAACACCCTCGAAACGGGATCTCTGTGAGAATAAATTGCCAAACCCGGGGGATAAGAATGCCAACACGTGGAATAAGGAATGGAACCCTCTGAATGATGTGAAGAAACCCGCACGATAAACTGCGAAAAACCCTGCTAAATCCTTGGCCGGCCCAGAAAGAAAAAAGAAAAAAACCATCAGGATAAAAATAAATACGCAGCCCATTTTAAACAGCTGGGGCTGGAGCTCGCCAGCAAAGCTGGCTGTTCTGAGCGAATTTGCTGCGAATATGCGTGCTCAAAACAGCATGCAGTACAGCTTTAGGCAGCACATTCAGGACAAAAGGCGGGCAACGGTGCTGGAAAGTTGTCCAATTCCAAAAAGCACGGAATACAATGCCTTATCTTCTTCCGTCACAAACAAACAGGCAATCGGGGCGTGCTACCTGACCCTTCACTCAAAACTTGTTCCATGGGACCAGGGACTCTGTATTAGCATCGAAAACAGCAACAAAGCGCTCCCTGCTCGGCACTGCAACTTTAACATCTTGGCAGCTGGTTTTGCGCGATAGGTAGGGATGTTTGAAGTGGTAGCGAACTTTTTCAAACGATGCTCCCACAGCCACTCAGACTGGCAGGACGCGGTCTTCCGAACCAAGCCTACTTGGAACTGCGTGCTATGAACAAGTGAGACAGAACTCCACTCACCAGCGGCCTACTCGATGTCGCCTGCCGATGGATGTGGCCAGGACGGTGCTGTCTTCTACCCTGAACTCCCAGCACAATATTGAAGCGATACAGTACTGTAGAGGCCAGATGGATGCCACTCTGATCACGCTCCTCCATTCGAGGGGCGTGACTTCGGTGCCGGCAGCGTCTTCGCCTCGCACCAAGAGCTTTTGGGCAGGGACTTCTGCTCAAAACTGCTGTGATCCGACAGAAGGTCAAGGCAACTTCGCGTTACTTCAGGCGCTGGGCTTCGCATGGTGGGGGGCAAGTTGGGACCTTTGCTCTTTTACTCCTCTGCTCTGCCTTGTCGGAGCGACGACGCATTGGACCTCAGAATGAAGGCAGGCCATCCGTGAGGCTAGTGTGGGTGGTAGCTTCGTAGCTACTTCTTTCAACCACAAAACTGCATTAGATGCGAAGCATGGGTGGGCATCTTCTTGAACTAGTAGCATGCGCGGGGTGCGTAAGAAAAAGGCAAACCTCCGTTCAAGAAAGATCGCCCCCTCTGAGGCATCAACTCGTCACTGGACTTTGCACGTCCATCACTGATGCTGACTCCTTCCAAGTAGCAGAGCTTCATGTCGGCGCAGAGAAGGCAAGGCATATTGAATGACTCTGCAACTTGATAAACTTGTCTGCCGTTAGACCAGCTAACAGCTAAGCAATGCCAAGAACTAACTTCGCTGGAAACACATTACCCCGTACACCGGCTGTTCAACACGTTAAATACGGCGCTTCATTCCCATGCTTTTGTCCCCGACGGCCAACATACGATGCTGCAGGGCATAGCACAGTTGGGGTTCCCACTGTGCTGGTAGTATTTTGGGGAAGTACTGGGTCGACTTTGCCAGCCTTTGCACCATTTACACCATTTTTACACCTTTTCCACTTGTCATCCTCCTAGCTGAGAAGTCCCAGCATCCAGCGGTCATGACAGTGGCAGAGCATCTTGCAACAGCTGCATCGTACAGACAGGAAAGCTGGCAAGGGCGATCTTTGATCCGAATTTAACAATACATTACTTTATTTTGAACATCCCCACCCTACAGATTTGGAACTTCTCGGCTTGGGCAATCTGGGGTTGGGCACTCCAGGGACACTCTGGGGTCAGGATGTACTGTAAAGGGAAACTCTAACAACAATCCCAGGCCGAGGGTGGGGAATAGCATCACAAGTTGAACAACAGGATAAAGACTCATTTATTCAACATTGGCTGCTGCTGTGCCTGCGACAGGAGCCGATCGATGACTTTCGCCAGTTTCTCGGTATGTTGGCCTCGCTCGAATCACATGCGGGGAATGTTCCGTGCAGAGTTCTTGAGCACGCATCGCATCAATACTACTGGAGATGGTGCCAGAAGGGACTGCAGGAATTGCGGGCTTTCAGGTCCGCAGGATCAACACACGTTCGTCCTAGTTGCAGAGGAAGTCAGGCAGGCAACAAACACTGTGCAGGTGTCTAGCACAGCACACGTGACTTAAGGATCAAATTTGCGCAGCTCTTGATCAAGAGTCCCAGGGAAAGTGATATAGGTTTGGTGCAATTGCTGACATCGACTTGCTGAGGTGTCCGGCGGCATTTGGAGCGAGTCTTGCGTGTCCAGGGCCCATTTTCGGCCTGTCTTAGCTTTATGTACATGCGTATGCGGCTCACAGCTTGCCGTTGCTGGAACCAGCGCTACTGATGCCACAATGCTTGAAACTGATGATGGCATGATTCTGGTTGATGTCGTTGTTGCAGCTGCGAGTGCTACGGTCATTGCCAGACCAACAGCTACAGTACGAGTGCAATACAACCAGCATCAGTCACGCCGTCGTGAACATGGTGCTACATGTTGCAAGAAAGTCTGTCAGCGGCACTGCGTTAGCTCTCATCTTCCATGAACAGGGCGGGCAGCTTAAAGCTCTCTTCGTTAATGAACCACTCTTTTAAAGATACGCTGTGCTGCTTCAACATACCTCGACTTTCTTGTCGAAGAGTCGAAACGAATGATCACCAACCATGCTCGACCCTCCGTATTTTGACATGCTGAGACTCGACAGAGCCAACACAAGGAGTATCTCCGGTGGCCTCTTCCTGGGACTCCCCGCCCTGGACAGGTTGTTTCCACATTCCGCATCATTGAACTTCAATGGACTTCATGATTCTGGCGCGGAGGGTTTGCGGGAATGGCAAGCAAAAAAGGCGCGTCGAAGGAGTGAAGCTCAAGTCTGACAAGAGGAGTTCCAAGCTTGGCAGCCCTCCAAGTGTGCCTGCTGAGACTCGTGGTTGTGGAAGTACTGAAGGAACTCATCGTACTCGATCATCCCATCGCCGTTCGTGTCGGCCTTCAGACACAACTTGAGCCTAGGAAGTTCCATGACCTGACCACATGCTGGGGGCTGAAGGTTAACGGGAGGACCAGTGGGGTATCATGTGGTCAGGCGGTACCAGGCTGTGCACGTATGGCTAACTCAGACAGCCGGGCCTCACGGATCAAGTCTTCGGCATCAGTCCCTTCGAACTGCTCGCCCAGGATGTTCCGCAGGTCGTCGGCCTAGGGCGCATCAAGCGATCCACAGACACGGCCTTATATGTTGCCTGGCCGCCACCAGCACCAAAAGACTTGTTCGTGCATCCTTCATCCTCAAAGGTGTCTCGGGGGAAAGCGGTGATCCTTCCGCAGTTGTCAATGTCAAACTTCCGGAATGTTCGCCGAAGGATGTCCTCACGTTGGGCACACGAGCTCATTCAACAAGTTGCACTTCGGCAGAATGTGCAAAAATGTCACAGTGCGGAAAGTCGGGAAAGTGCGCTCAAATCAGAACCCCTGGATATTCCCCTACGGGGGGTCCTCATGGACCTTGAGCCGGCCCTGGCGAGGGATTGGCAGATCACATTCCGTTTCTCAGCGCGTGATTCCCTGAGTGTGTCCCTCCGGAGTCTGACAGAGGAGAGCTCCAGGTGCCTGAAGGGCGGCAGCAAGAAACTCGCTGTAGGCGATGACATCGTCGTGGTCGGTGTCCATCATGCTGAAGACCGCCTCAAGGGCAGGTCGGGTAGCCCAACAAGCTGCGCCAGCACTTGCGCCAGCACTGAATGCCCGCCTCAGCCTCCATGCTGTCGATGTGATAGTTCTTCTCAAGAATTTCTTTCATCTGGCACATGTGATGGCAAACAGGCCATGCACTTGAAGCTCCACAGACGTTCCCAAAAACGAGTTAGTAGTTGCTCTGCTCCTACTCCAATGGCGCAACGCTTTAGAATTTCAACAAGATTCCACACAGGTTCACTTCCTTAACGAAGAGTTGAGAAACCTGGAGGTGAGTGATAGTGCCCTTGTTGTCGGTGTCAAACTGCAAGAACTCGTTGCGCAACTGCGCCCGATCCTGGAAATCGCCAGTCACTTCCACATGCTTCGTGAGCAAAGGTTCATTCGTGGCACTGCGATACGAGTAGTGCAATTTCAAGAGGGAGCATGCCTCCGCGGACAAGGACCAAGCCATCATCGACAGCACCTGAGTCTAGACACGTCTAAGGTTACACGAGCATGGAGTTCACGGGAGAGCATGGCATGATGAGGCATGTAGGGTGCAGGTGCGGAACAGCGCGTCGGAACGTAGACGCCCTCGCAAACTTTCGGAGGCTCAGCTTGATATCGTCGTCGAGAACAGTCTTAGCCGAGTCAGATCTACGGAGGCCCCAACAGGCTGCAGTCATGCTACCATGTCGGAGGAAAAAGGACAAAGCATGCAACAAATTGCTTTCTCTGCAAAAGCCGGGTGCCCAACGCTGGTGCCACGCAAACCACCGTTCCCCACAATCCAAGGATGACTCAATGCACCTAAACAGGATTGCGCTGAAGATCGCTGGTACTGCTGAGACTGCCCATGTCTTGCCGCGGTTAGACTGTGCAAACATGTGATCAGAATGCGTCTGGTCCTCTTTCGAAATCTCCTCTGCGGTGTGGGTGCAAGGTCTTAGAGAGAATCTGGGGTTTAATAAGGTTTTAGGCGGTTGGTGGCGCGTGCGCCTCTTTGTTGAAAGTGGCCTTTGGGATACACTCGATGTGTGCGGTAGAATTTATCCGCGCGAGATGTACTACAAATGTGCCCGAAATGTGTGTGCGCGTGACACGCACACATTTTATGTAGTACCATTGGTCTTAGGCAATAGTAACAGTTAGGTGACGGTAGTTTCCGGTGGAACTCGTCCCCTAAGTCATCTGGCTGGACTTTTTGGCTCCAGCTGACATTTGGGGCTTAGGGGGTCTGTGGAGCTTGGCTGGCAACAGTGTTGCTCGACAAGCACTGCCGGCTTTGTAAACTAAACTGAACCCTTAACCAAGGAAGACATTTCGTGGGCTTCGGGGCCTGCAGCATCCAAGCGCTCTTCAGGGTTCATCGCCAACAACGCCTGCAGCATTGGATGCTTGCGTTGATCCCCTTCGCGCTGACATTAAGAACAGATTCAAACCCCTTTTCATAGCAATCTGATTCTAGCTGAAAAATGATAGCAACCTACTCACTCCGGGCCCCACATAGAGTGGATTTTACTATTTGGATGCCAATGATGCCATCACCTACATGGCTAACAAGGGAAAACCTTCAAGTCCTAGATTCCGAGCCTGACTAGTCTTCGTGTGTCCCGGATGCTGGCGCCTTCACGAAGTCCTGGGCGCCCTCCGAAAGACGCTTGAATCGGCTGGACCAGTGGATCTTGCCGGCCCTGCGCAGCTTTAGATGTCGAATGGCCTGACATGACACCTCAAGGTCGGGGCCTGATCTTGCGCAGGACTTCGTTGTCGTTGCCTCCTTGAAATGGAGGACTCCTGGAGTGCAAGGATGACAAAGCAAAGTCAAGGAGTTTTTCAGGGAATATTCTGAGGCATTCTGAGGCCTTGGCCCTGTTAGGAGCATGTAGCTGATGACTCCGAGAGACCACATGTCTGCTTTCAGTGTGTAGGACTTGGCCAACACCTGTACACTGCAAGTGACAACGCTGGATCGGTATTAGAATGGTGCTGAGGGGAACCGAAAGTTCTCGACATGTGCATCCCTTCTTGGAATGAAGGCTGTGCCTCAGGAGCCACGTAGTGGGTGGAACCACAGGCCTGGCAAATGAGAAAAACAGCCGCAAATAGGGCTTCATGGGTTTTGGACTTCCGCTGTCCGCAGGGCCGAATGACAACAAAAGATTGTGCTACTTGGGAGGAAGCGGTCACCATCATCAAGTAGAGGCTTCACCGAACGTAACTAAGTATCAGCTTGTCATCCTTCTGGCCTTATAAGAAAATGCGCCACGGCAGCAGCTGTTTGCAGAACGCAGTGGTGGCACTCTTTGAAGAATCTCAGCCACCGCCGCTTTTGGTGTCGTTGCCGCGCGCGTCATTGTATTTGCGATTGTCTTGTGCTTCGTTCTGGCAGTCATCGTGTTGTGCTGCACATCCTCAATGTCTTCCTCAGCGCTTCTGGTAGTATTGCAGTGGCCTTCATCTGTGTAATACGGCTTGCGCCGCCCATTGTATGGCCCTAAGAACCTCTACACCAAAGCCCGCGGTTGCCAAAGCTAGCTACTGCAGCGCAGCGCAACGAATGCTGCGAGGATGCCTGCGACATCTTCGTACTTCGATCCCAGAACTTGGCAAAACCTGGGAGTCAATCTTGTTGTGGCTCCAGTCAGCCAAGCCCAAGAAAGGTAGCACTGGGGTGGCTGCCAAAGTCGATCAACTTGAGATGGTTGTTGTCCTTTGTGCTTTGTGAATCTGTGCAGTCTCAAAAGCACCCACAGGATCAGAAGAGCGACGGTCCGATTGAGATGCACAGACTACTTATACTCATTCTTGTCAAGACGTCATCTGTTCTCTGTGGCGAGTGCTCACGATTTGCAGTCGGAAGCTCTTGGGAACCGGAATGCAGCCACGGAAAGCTACGCGAGCCAGCTCATCAGTCCTTCCGCTCATAGAGGAAGTTTTCAAGCTTCAAGTCGCGGTGGGCGATCTGATGCGCATGCATGTAAGAGACCTCCAGGCCAGGAGCTGGCAGCTTTTGCCCCAGGCAGTTCCTTCTACCACATCTTGACAGATCTAAACAGGCTCAAAAGCCTCAATCTTTTCTGTTCACAAGAGCATGTTCTGCTGTCAACAACAGGGCTCCTGCAGTAACAAGCATAGAGTCGGATTGCATGCTGAGAGTCCAGCAGCTTTGAGCATCTGATGGCAGGTGTTCGCGGCCACCTCCTCACGTGTCGACTGCTACACGGAAATCCTGAGGCTCAGGCCTTGCCAAAGCCATGAGCAGCACAACAGCGAGTTGCTATTTGAGCTAAGATGGTAGTGACCGCCAACCGCAGCGTGCAGCATGACCAAAACCAAGGGTGCTCTGCTAATGACTGCGTGACAGCATGGCAGAGCATCACATCATGTCGCATCCCTCTCTCTGCTGCCGCCTCGTTATAGACCTTTGCATCGAAGAGCCGGTCGTAGAGCTCGCCGCCCGCCATGAACTCCATGACCAGGTGGATCTCCTGAAGGGCGCGCGAGGATTCTTCCCTCTGCGCTCTTCTCCTCTGCACTTTTCCGCACACTTCTTGACTTCCTAAAGCTTTTGAGACCGTAACTCGACATCCGAATGTATGCTTGAACATCTTGAACGCATTCAGCAGCAAGTTATCCCGTGTCACCGAAGGATTCGGAATCGCAGGCCTGATCATCCTCGTAGACCATCATCAACCTGGCGATGTGCGGGTGGTCCAGTGCCAGGTATATCTCCACCTGCGACAGGTTCCAAGCTTTTCGAGGTGTAGGGGCATGTTGTAGCCGTGCACTGCAACACTCTGCAACACTGTCACTGGCACATCTGCAATCTACAAGAGGCCACGCACATGACGTCTCTTTGGTCTTGAAGGCAATCCGTTCTTCAGAGCGCCTTGGGTTGTCTAAGAAAAACTTCGTGCTAGCTTGCTATTGGATTTTCGAGGTCCTCTCCTGATCTGCGGTCTGAGAGGTCCCCTAGATTTCGGGATGGTGAGACTGGCTCGCCGCAGCGCGCATCATGAGGGCTACTCGCTAGGAACCAAGCTAGGGATGTGTGGACGTGTGGCAGTTCTGCCAAGCTATTCAGCTGGCTTCTCTCCGATGCTCCGAGTTTGTGTGCCTCTGATACAGCCGTGATGTGCTGTCTCAACTGCTGCGAGTGACCCACGATGCATGCACGCTGCCACGAGCCCACTGCGGGTGAGACCTAGAAAAAGTTACCTTATGTACAAAAAGCGAGTTAGGACTTTGGTCGCTTCTTCTCCTTCTCCTCCTCCTTCTCTTCCTCCTCTTCATCCTCCTCCTTAAAAGACTCGAACCAGTCCACCGTCTCCTCCTTTGCCTCCACGGGCTCCTCCACTTCCGGTGCGAAGGCGTCGGCCTCCTCTTGGAGGCTGGCGTCCTCCACCGCACCTCTGAAGAAGTCAAAGAAAAAAGAGAGTCACTTCTCTAATTCATATGGGTTTGGGTTAGAAGGATGCTGAAGCATGTTCATATGAGAGGAGACTAAAAAAAGGAGGGCTTCGAGCTTCCGGGCGGCCCTGCCTTCCTGCCCTGGAGCACTTTGTTCTGCGTGGGGCCAGCTCTCGAGCTTGTTCCGCTTCCGGCTGTTCTCAAGCTGCTCTCTCAGCTCCCTGCCATGCAATACACAAAGAGGGGGCGTGGCAGAAAAAAAGCACTACGAGTACAGTAGCTGCTGGATGCTGAAGGCATCGGGGCTGCAGGCTGATGCTAACTCGCCAGTGGCTCTGCTGTCTCAGCCGCTGCTCCTGCCAACCATATCAGAAATATGAAATGTCCCTGCAGCCCCTGTGGAAGCAACGATGTGCAGGTCATGTCTCAAAGCCCGCCCCAGCTCCACTCATGCAGGAGGCTGATGCAAAATGTTGCTGCGCCGTTCTGATTTTCCCTCTCCTCGTATCTGCGCTGCCTCACCTGGTTTAGAAGCGTGAATGGCTGTAATAGTAACATTTGTCAACCAATCCAGGTCGGCAAGTATGGGTGATCTTCATATCTTGGAGTGCTTTCTTTTGACGGCATATTGAGGCCACCAATGTGTTCGAGGGAGCTGACAACACGTTGAATCGGCGCCTGCTCCAAGCGCTCCTCCCGGGCAGCCGACTTCAATTTCAAGCGCTCGACCTCCGTCATGAGCCCGGCAAGGAGAATCCATGAGAATCCATATGACACTGCAAAGTACCAACAACAGAAGTGCTCTTCGGCTGTTCTACCGATTCTAGCTGTTCTGACTCACTGTTCTGACTCAGAAGAACACCAACGTTGTTAAAACGCGTCCGAGTGAAGCTGAGAAACGTAACATAAGTTCGAGATGCTCGCCTATGGCGCGTGCCGAATCAGTCTCGTAGTGTCTTGTGATCTCAGAAGACGTCTGGCCTGCGCCTTTCGATTCGCCTCCACTCTCGAAGGACCTCGCTCCTCCTGGAGCGCGTGAACTGCGTGAACAGAAGTTACGCCCCCTGCTTGCAGTGTTCAGAACGTCCTTGGCAGCAATCTGGTGAAGGAGGTTGGACTCGTGTTTGACAGCTTCCTGGCCCGCGGCTTCTGCAGGATCAGCCTTACGCTCATCAGGGCCTGCAGAAGATGCCTCGTCGCGACGATGTCGCGCAGAGAGGATTCGCTCTTTCGTTTCATTGTTCCAGTGCTGAGCTCGTGCCTTAGGCCACGTGGCCGCAATGTGATGCGCAGCAGGCACATGCGAGGTGACACTGTGCTACACTTGCATGGCGTGGCTGAGCATCCTGAGGCTGGCACCAAGGCATCGCGTTTCCAGCCAAGCCTACACTTTGGGGGGGAAATGGCACCACATATTTGGCACACCCGAATCACTTTGGGACATGGCAGATGGCAAAAGCAGTCCTGGAGCCTTGAAGGTTCATCTCCTCAACAAGCAACTCAATTGCTTTAAAAGACTGTGTTACATTGCGACTGACTCAATTGACCAGCTTTTGATGCAACAAAGCAAAGAGACGAGCTTCCCAGCAAACATGTAGCAGAAAGCAGCGCAGGAGCCCGAGAGGGCCATCTGAGATCATCTGAGGTCTCCGCCATCTTGTCCACCTCCCGAGGAGCTTTCAGGTAGCTCCCGTCCAAAGGCTCCAAGGCTGGCGGAGGAGCCTGCAGGGTTCAGGGTTGTGCGAGGTTGTTGCGTTCTTCTGGTTCCGCGTTTGAAACGAATTCTGGCTGGTGCCCGCCTCGATCTTCCGGACGTACCGGTAGCGGAGAAGCTTGGAGTGCAGGCTCTGCCCCTCCTCCTCGTCGTCATCTTTCCGCACCTGTGCAGCTGAGGGCAGCGTTGGGCATTGTATCATTGTATGGCATTGTGTGGCATTGCTTTGTTCAGCTCATCGTCGAGATCGGCCTCGGCCTTGCCCGTGGTGGAAAGACCCGGACCCATGTGGTCCAAGTCCACGCCTGCAATGAGGTTTCGCATCTCCGCCTCAGCTGACTTCTGTCCATTCTTCTTTCAATACATCACTGTACTCATTGGTACTCAATTGCTGCTTTCACACTTGAGCTTTTCCAAGCCGAAGGACAGAAACACTCTCGAGCTCTGCTGCAAGCGCTTTGGAGTCCACCGGTGGAGCCTCGATATCTGCGGTAAGACGCAGGGAAGGTTGCGCCACCCTACGGATCACGCCCGCCTTCCCTGAGGCCGACTCAGAAAATCTCCTGCGCCGTCAAGGTTTAAAAAAAGCCAAGCATGAAAGTTTGTGCGCCCAAGTAAGGCTTGGCGCCTATCCCGGTTGTGCTTATCCCTGGGACTTCCATCCGAGAAGCTGAACTGGTGAATGGCCTCCGGCAGGCGCGATCATGCAATGCAATCCCGGTGTTGTCTCAGCCAATGCTCTACATTGCTTTCGATGGCATTGGCTCCTTGCTGTTCTTCTCCACCACCTGAGAAATTGCAGGCTTGAAAGGTTGAGCGGCTTTACACAAGGCTTTGCCTTGTTGTCATTGCTCGTGGCTTTGACCCACTAAGTCAAACTCCCAGAATTCTGGCGCAAACGTTGTTTCACCATGCCGTGCTGACGAGAGCTGTCCCGTCCTGCACCCGCAGACTTGGGGCGAGGCATCATTCCGTCTGGCAACCATGGTTGAAACGGCATGGCTGCCTTAGTGGAGACTGTGCAATGGTACCATATGATACCTAGAACAAGAAGGAAACAAGAATTGCAATCGTGTGAAAAGGCCATTCTATACCCTATTATGAACGACTTTTACCCAGTCTAAAGTAGTATAAACCCATTGTAACCGACTACTATCCCCTCTTCTAAGTGCTACAGCACCTGCCCACTCTGAGAAAAGCTTTCAGATGCTCCCAGCTCTCAGCCCCTCCCCCCGGCCTCGCTCCCTGAAGCGATAGAGCTTCTTCGCGTACCGAAACTCGCCACCTTGACACACAACCCTTAACAAAGAGAGAGACTACGAGAAGCAGAGGCTGAAACATTTGTTACACTTAGACGAGAAGTTGAGAGAGAGACAGAGAAGCCCCTTCCTGTGATTGCGTTCTGCTACTCGTCGTGCCCTCTGCCCTCTTTCTTTCCTTCCTTCTTCTTTCTTTCTTTCTTTCTTTCTTTCTTTCTTTCTTGCTTTCTTGGGGCATGGGGGGCGAACCCCAGGGCCTACGGCTGTTCTCCCCTCTCTCTCTCTCTCTGCTCTCCCTCTCTGCTCTCTCGGTCGGTCTGGCAACGTCTTTCTTGCCTGGAGCAGCAGTGGCCGCCAGTCCCAGCAAGGAGGGCCTAACAACGGGGCACTGGCCAGTTCCCAATAGTCTGCATCCGTTGCTACCGTTGCCTTCCATCGTTGACACGGCAGGAGCGAGACATCGTCTCTGCAAGGCGTTCGCGTTGCCTGGCACACAGACGCTGTGCTGCGCAGAACGCACTCGCAAGCTCGTTAAGCTTTACCCTAAGCACGAGACAGCCAAGGTCTCGGCACGCTCATCCGCCGCTCGTTGAACATGGCCTCGCCATCAAAGGCTCCTGGAAAAGTTGAGCTGCACAGACACGAGCCTTGTCTGGTGGTACCTATCACCCACAAACGGCTTGCTGCAGCTTGCGTATCCAGGCATGCTTGCAAAGCCATGAAGGCATGCGAAGACTTCCCAAAACAAGCCCTGGTCCTAGAACATCACCCACCGGCTGAAAGTTGAAGTCGCAATCTCTGAGCATAGCAGATGTCATAGTCTCCTGTCAAAATTCACAACAAGTGCGCCGCAGTTCGAGCCGCAAACATCAGCAAGTTCCATTAAAACCACTTCTGGCCTTGAGAGCATGCGCAGCTGGTGTCGAGTAATTGCGTAAAGCTCCCCAGATACTAGGCTGGTGCTTTTGAGGCAATGCCGACTCTATCAGTGCTCATACCTATGCGCATGTCCTTGGCTCTAAACGATGTGAGCTTCAAGGGCTTGTCTGACATTGATAAAGAGGTGTGGCATTGCTGCATCGCATGGCATAGCCAACCGTCCTTTGCTTGATTCATGTGAGCCTGATAAGCTGCAGATAAGTTTGACAGGGGTTAGGGACATCCGCAGCAATGACAGGGTGCTTTTTGAGCTTCCGAGATCTTCCTGGCTTCTTGAGCTCTCCGAGCCACGACACAAACTCTACGTTAGGTGAGCAGGGCAGGCGCCTCGTTTTTGAGGTCGGATCTCCGGGTCTCGGACAGGCCATGCTTCTTGAAGCTCTTGACCGCGCACTTCTCGCCATCTGCCAAGAGGGCTAGACAGGCAAGCTGATTTTGAAATCCCCCTACTAATACCAGCAGACCTTACAAAGCACATGGCCTTTGCTCGTTGCCAGCTGAACTGGGCCACTCATGCCGGAGCCGAGCACCTGATGGCCAGGCTCGTGTGGGTTGCGAGATGTAATCTGATGCCTGAATGTCTTCTTCTTACATGTCCTTCTTGCCCCCCTTTCGCCTTCGAGGCAACCTTGTAGTCATCTCTCAGTCTCCTTCGCAAGGCGGAACATGAGGCTGCGAAAACTCCGGAGTTCATCACGAGGGCACCTGCTGGTGCAGTAGCGGCCAGTGACGGGGATCTTGCCTTTTCTCTCCATCACCTCTTGTGCCCGAATCGAACCATGAATCGATCTGAGGTCGCAATTCGCAAGTTCGGGGTCACACATTTGCTTTGATGCCAGGCTTCTCGCAGAGGCTTCACAGTTGCAGGATGGGGGTTTGGCTGAGAGGCGGGTGAGCCGGCCTCTTGGGTGTTGATCCACTTGGAGTCATTGTCAACAAGGTTCGACCTGCTACTCGACGCACTCGAGGATACTCGAGGTCAACTCCCGAACTCCAGATCATGGCCTTGTACCCCCCTCCGTCTCCGAGATGGTTCTGGAGTTGCCAAGGAACCTGTGCAGATCATTAGCACTAAAGGGGAACGTTTGCGGATTGCCTTGACGAGAAGACCACGGGCCTCCCCGTTAGCACACGGACACCTTCCAGTATTCCATCGGAACAACAGTCCATGGCCCTGGCAGAGCCTTCCCTTCCGGGGTGTGTCGGTGTCACAACCAAACCGCGTTGGACTTGTTGAATTCCGTTGATTTCATCAGAATGTCCAGGTGCTAGACCCGCAATACTTTGTGGTTTGCGGTTCATCGAAGCTCAGGTAGGGCGTATCTGGTTTAGAAGACGAGACCAGTGGCATGACTTAGTGGGAGATGTCGCATCACTGCTGTTCGTTGCTGCGTTGGACAGCACTTTTCAGCGTGGGTAGTGCTTGCGAGTGTCAAGGCGTGGTAAGCTGAGCCAGATGAGCCAGGCAAGCTTGATTGACCTCTCCTAATATAGATGTTCTACCATCATGAACATTACGTACTTGCACGAAAATCGCCGTCTGTTTGGGACATGTGCGTCGAATGACATTGTAGTGCTCAGCTCAGTTCCATCCACAAGCTCGGCTTGGAGGACTGAGTCAAGCTGGTGTGAGACAAGAGGTACAAGACAGATTTTGGACGTGGAGGCTGGAATGGCTGGAGTCTGAAAGGTTGTTAAAGAGAACACATGGGGTGTCAAGCCGCTGCTTCTGCTTCTGTGGTGGGCTCTCCCAGGCAAGTCTAGATTGAAAGAGCTTCCCTCAGAGTGCCGACTTCTTGAAAGCCCTGGAACCTCAAAGATTCGGGCAAAGCTGCATGCCGTGGGCCGAAGCTTTGTCGCCATCTGGGTGCCCCTCCGATCTTCGGGCAGCGGAGTGAAGGACAGCGGCGCCTGCCCCACCTGCGGCAGATGGCAACAAAAGGGCAACATATGGGCAACGCAGATGCGCCGGGCCCCTTAGCCTGTCCCTCCCCATTCCAGCCTCGAACGCGATGGGGCGTTCTGTGGGCACCTCGAAAGCTTCAGAGAAGTCAGATGTTCTTGAAAGGCTTTGACAAGTCCCGAGACAGCACTCTGCCTTCTTTGAAGTTCCGGAACCCTCCCGGCCGTCACTCAACCTCCAACTCCTAGCCTGAAGGCTTTCCTTCAAGCACCTAAGTGCAGCCCCTTTATTCAAGAGCTGAGCCCCCCCAAAAAACCTCCTCTCCTTCCCTTCTCCGGCCTCTGCCTGCACTGCGCGTCCCGAGGCCCCGCGGCCTCGGTCGGCGCCGACCTTCGGCGGCGCTTGAGCCTGGCAAGATTCGGGGTTTAGGGTTTAGGGTTTAGGGTTCAGGGTTTAGGGTTTAGGTTTAAGGTTTAGGGGATAAGATGGGAAAAGAGCACTAGTAGGGCTCCCATTTTTTGCTCCCCCGAATGCAGAGTCAAGTGATGTCAAGAGATCATTGTGGGTCCTTGCTCTCAAGCCTTCTCCAACCTTTCTTTTGAGCGTGTTGTAGGGTTTCTGGGTTCAAGCTTTTGAAGGTTTGAGACTTGTTGTAGGGAGAGGCTCCAGGGAAAGTTCCATGATTCCTGAAGGCACCCCCCCCCCCCCCCCCGCCCCCCCCTCGATGCAGGAAAAATGCCATTTGAAGCTTTTTGGTTCTCTTTCTCGCTTTCGTTACGTTCTCGGAAGGAGGATCCTGCAGGCGGGCCTCTGCCCGGCTCTCGGTCTCCGTCACATCCGTCAGCGTACCTGTGCAGCTTTATGTGAGAAACCCACCCGGCCACGGTGCCCCTATACAGTAAAAGTCCTCTAAAGCTTGCCTCCGACTTCTGCTGCCTTCAGGGCCTGCTTGGCAGCGATGTCTGCTTTGATTTGCTCCACCTCTTGCCTTCAGGGGAAAACTGGAAAACAGGGACCCTCACGTGGAAAGCTTCAGCCATGTTCAATCCCAGGACTCAGATGTCTGGGTTGCACCTCAAGGCAGGCGACAGCTGCTCCTTCAGCCGAAAATCTGTCTCCCCTGCGACAGCTGTCACATATGAGAAGAACAACAAGGAACTGGACAACACACGGCGATCACAGGCGACCATGATGACACAAGCAACTGCTTGCGCCAGCGGAAGGTATCTTGTCGTTGGAGAAGTTTGCTTGATCCTGGGCAAGATGGGCATGAGCAAGCCAAGCCGTTTAAGAGGGCCGTTTGAACTTGGATGTCCGAAACGCCCCCTCCCCCTCCCCTCACGCTTCGCAAACCACGAGCAAGTTAAGCTCGGCGTCTGCGTGGAAGACACCCGCGCTAGGTGTTCCATCCTGTGCAGCGTTGTCGTACTCCTTCAAAGGCCATGCCAAGAAAGCCCGATGGAGAGAGAGAGAGAGAGTATGAAACAACATGACACATCGTTTTATCTGCTCTAAGTGTCATGAAGATCAGAGATATTGTGAATATTGACAAGGTCGCAGATATTGCAAAATAACTGTCATCAGCACTATATACTTCCAAGCATACATATATACATCAACACATGCACACAGCAAATTTGCTGAGTATTGCAATCAATATTCAAACGACTATACAGATATGAATACTACATACCCTACATACTATGTACTTAGTGTAAAAATCCGAAGTATCGTTTTTACACGAGTAAGTAATAAACAAAACAACATATAGTATCAGTATCATAGGAGATCTCTGCAAGGGCCTCGGTCCCTGCGACATCCTCGCCGGTGGCGACAGCCCCCGCATTCCCAATGGTGAAGGGATCTGCGTCTGGACGCATTTCAGTATCTTCCTGTGAGAGACGGGCACAGAAGCACTCTTGGCTGACTTCGCTGCCCCACGATCGTCCTGAAAGCAACAGTTGCCGTCGGAGGGGAAGCACATGAACATCCACCTTGGACTTGGGCACACAGAGACTCTCTTGATGGCTCCATGCCGAAGTAAGAGCTTTGCAAGTGGGAGTCATCAGTCTTCAAGTTTTTGGCCTGCGCGCAAGGCAGGACGATGCGTTCAACGATCTGAAGCTTTACGCCTGCGGAGCATCTGGCCCCCCCTGTTCCCGTTCCATCCTGTGCCCTGCCTTCCTCTTTGGGGCCTCTGCGATGTTCACTGCATCCATGCTGGCCTTGGACGCATTGGCCATCACCCCCCCCCCCCCCCCCCCCCAACACAAGCCACCCGAACTGCATGGTGCTGCTGTGCGTGATTATCGTCACGGCAATGCTGCCATGGCATGCTGAGCTCCAGACTAGCAGCCTCTGTCACCAGGGCTAAAGCATTGAATTCTCTACACTTGTACTTACCTCCTCTTGGGGTCTTGTAAACATTGTAAACGGCACACTAGAAACACCTGAGCAGCGAGTCGCCTCTGATCATAGTTGGGTGAGGCTTACTTGCATATGGCTGAGGTTGGGGGCACTATGAGGCACTTGTAGTACTTAGTTGAGCCTAACTTGATGAAAGGCCCTGCAACCCTAGCATCTAGAGTTCTCTGTGCCTGCAAAGCCAAAACGAAGTGGTCGAGTGACACTGGCAAGCTGTTCCAAGTGGAAGTTATGCTCAGGCCCCAGCTGGAAAGCAAAGCGGCAGTTGGCAACTTTTTGTTCCATCTCCAAAGGATTTCGTGCGCCAGGCCGCTGGGATGCAACATTCAAGGCCTCAAAGCCCCACTTCTGCAGACTCGCGCTGATGGATCGGCATGTTGGGCTGGACTTTCACTGCCCGTGCACACCTGGCGTGTCGTCAAAGGACGATCCCACGAAATCATCCGCCGTCACTTTCTTGATGCCGATGTCCAACTTTCAGGAGCCCAGCCCTTTGGAACCTCGCAGCGAACTCTCAAGAGACATCCACCCGAAGGACCCAACGAGGCGAAACCAACAAAACCGGATAAACCCCGGCTTCCAGCTGTGCTCGGCCTGCATGTTCGCCTTCAAGCAGGCTCCGAATCTCTCGGTCTCCTGTACGCCCCATAACGCTCCCCCATGATGCCTTCCATGCACATTCTGCTTTTATTTCGCAGCGTGCAGGCATCCACGTCCTGTGCCATCCTGGATCCAAGGATGGCCTTCGCTTTCGCCTGATCCAGGGGCGTCTCCACCTTCAGATTTCGCGTCTTCGAGATTTCGCATCTTCGAGATGCTTTGAGCTTCGACCCTGAAGCTGACGTTGCCCCCGGAGCCCATGCTCAGAAGCTGGGGCATAGGGCGCTGCAACGACTTCCATACCTGGCAGCGACGAAAAATGAACCTTTCAAAGCAGAAGAGAAAGCGACGAAAGCGTTCATGTCGACGCCTTTTGGAAGCCTATCGTTAGCACTGGTACCAAGAAATCCGAAAGGAACGCTTGCAGTAGTCACTGTGTGCCTGATGTTTTCATTTTTCTTCAAAGCGAGTGCGGCGAGCCCGAGGGAACTGCCCTGCGACTTGATAAGCTGCCGGTCCCAGACCCAAAACAGATGTACGCAGATGCACCAGCTGAGATCATGTGGAGCGAATGCGTGCTGCAGCACATTGAACTATCTATGGCAGGTAGCTAAAAATAGCATTCTGGTTTCGCATTGTAGTGTAACTGCCTCCCGTTTTCCTCCGTTTTCCGCCATAAATGCCTGCGGTTGTTGGCAAAGCTGCGCTCCCGACTTCAGGGAGAGTTGATCCCGGGTTCGCGGCCCCCCTCTCTGTTTTTTTCTTCTTCTGCTGGGCTTGAAGGCCAGGGAAGTTGACCCTGACCTCCAAGCGCCTCTCTTTTTCTTCTTCTTTTTCTTCTTCTTCTTCTTCTTCTTCTGCAGGGCATGGGGGGGGCCCAGAAGACCCCTCGCACCGCAGCGCGCCCAGTCGCACGTCCATCATGAAACTCCAGCTCACTTCCCGCGGGTTTGCGAGAAAGCCCTATGTTTCGGAGTTGGCTGTGTGGGAAAAACTAGTTGCTACCCACGGCTCCCAACCCCCAAGCATCACATGAAAACAGCCATCTCGGGCATCCTAGTTTCCTTTGTTAGGAGTTTTTGGGTGACCTGCCACGGGGTTGGTGAGGTGAGAAGTCTGCAGTGAAGCATTTCCCCCGGGGCTTAAATTATCCAACAAACAGGAGATGAAGTATAGGCATTCTTCCGGGGTGTGCTTCATTGCTTACCGTGGTAATCTCCTTACCTACTGGAAACACGAAGCCCGAAGCCTTGTCCCTCGCTCTCTCTCGCTGTCTCTCTGCCAAACACGGAGGCGTCGGCCACGCGTCTCGCTGTGCTCCCCGCTCCATGACCACCTGTTTCAGGTATTTTCTCAAATCAAAGTGCTGGTTGGGAACGTCTTAAAGCAATGGCATTTCTGAGCCGGCGGCATTGTCTGCATCCGATGCCATTGAGCAGGGCTGATCATGCCGGACACACCAACGAACCAACACCAACGCATCAAGTCCATAAAGTCCGAAGTGCCTTCCCCCCCCCCCCCCCCCCCACCAGAACAAGCATAAGCGAGTGGAGCGAGTGAAGATTCCCCAAAGTGCTGTGAGCCGGATGTCGGTCAACGTGCAGAGGGGCTAACGTCTCAGAATCGCAGCATGGCAGAATGCAGGAAAACTCCCAGGGCATTGCATGGCTCAGATGTGCTGATGGCCCTGAACCTGTCGGATCCTTTTAACTTTCGGCTGGGACGAGCCCAGCTAAGCAGCTGAGACATCTGCAAAAGGGCGCCTGCTCAGAAGAGTAGCCCGAACCCTGACATCGAATAATCTTAAGGCATAAACAAGGGGAAACACCCAAACACGAAACCCCAAGCCATGGCAAACGCTACCGCTGTCATCCTCAGTCGTCCTCGTCCAAAGGCTGCGGCCTTGCCGCTGCCGCTGCCTTCCTCCTCTTCTCTGCCCACTTTCGGGCTTCTTCCGCCTCGTTGCCGGGCATGTCTGGATCCTCCTCCTCCCAAGACTTGGGATGACGATTGAGAAGCTCGTCGCTTGCCACATGCACGGCAGTTCTTAAAGCTGTTTAGAAGCCTCTCAAACGCTCACAACATCTCGCAGACGTCCTGGAAGATGTAGCCACCCCCTGCAACACCGCCCTCTCGGCGGGGCCGGGCTGGGCCAGGCGTGCCGCCAGGAGCCACCTGCCAGGGATGGCAGGAGGGGTTTAGGTTAAGCTAAGCGTTAAGGGTTCAGAGCTCTGCATTCTTTTGTGATGCAGTATCACTCCCCGAAGTAAGGGCCTGTTCTTGGATCCTGAGGCGATCCTATGTTTGGAATTTGTTCTTCTTTGCGCCGCCTATACACTAACTTTTGCCACCTGTGTAGCATTGTGTAGCCATGCCAACTCTACATACATCCTTTCTGACATGTACACGTGGATGTGCGTTGGGAATACGAGCCTTTTGGAATGGTTTGATAAAACGGCATTTGGTCACTAGCTTTCCCGAGATTTCTGAACAGCTGCCTCGAAGAGTTCTCCTGGCTGATCTATCTGATCTTAACTGGCCTGCTTGCCGTAGACACGAAGTCCCAGCTTCATGAGCTCGAAACGCAACACCTGCCGCGAAGCTGTCTGAAGAGCTGCACAAGGCAGGTTCCAACCAGAGACTTCTGGACGAAGCCAAAGGATCCGGAAAGGCGTGGACCACCCTGCGCCACCAAAAAGCCCAAACCAAACAGGCAAGTGACGTCCACCGTGTCTTTCAGCAAGACGTAGTCGCACTCCGCATCATCCTTCAAGGCTTCCTGGCAGGCCATCGAAAGATACCAACAGTGTCTCGTTGCGTGGCCCTTACAAGACGAACTTTCACAGGCGACGGCCTTCACAGCATCGAGCTTTGGCTGCAGGGTCATGCGCGCATCCGCTGGAGCCTTGTAGCCTCTCAGGGCGTGAGCCGCAAGCATGTGTTAGCCTTGTGTCAGCGCCGAGCCTAATTCCAGCAGATTTTGCTCCGTCTGCTCAAGCAGGTTGGCGGCCGAGTACCTTGCACACAGTCCCCAGTTCCACTATAAGATGCCATGTCCCGGCCCCATGACCACCTGAGATTTGGGAGACTTCAATTACTTCGATTACTTCAGGCATCTTCAGCTTCTCTCTCCAACTCCCGTATCGCGCCTCAACTCCAGCCTGAACTTGGCCTCCTCGTCTGCCAGCTCCTTGTCCTCAGCATCATCCAGGATGCGCTGCACCTGACCCGCAAGAGGCAGCCGAAGGGACCCCCAACCTCTTGTAATTGCACCTTCCAATCCCTTTCTGAGGATGCAGCAGCATCATAGCTAACATGAAGCAACATGATGTCAGACATAGTGCACTATCTGCTGACACCTCTTCTGCCAAGAGACAAGGACTGTCCTATCGCTGGCGGCGCGGGAAGCATGAGCCACGAGCTAAAGCAGGCTTCCTGGCCTCGTCATCGCTTAAAGTGGAGGAGTCCTGTTGCCATAGAGCTCTGTTTCCAATGTATCAGAAGCTGGAGAGATCAGGATCGGCATCATTCGACCATGAGCACTACGCTCATCCAACCCAGCCCAATGTCAGCGAAGCTTGTTGTGGGGTTACTGGGGTCCGTCACTTCTGTCACTTCGGCTCTGTTTGGGACATCTGGAGCTCAGATTCCCGTGTCTCCCAGCCTCGATCTTGATGCTCCGATGCTTGCGTGTGCCCCAATCTTTGGCCGACACGGTCAAGATGCCCTGGAAAGAACTGAGAGAACTGAAAGGAATTTTGACGACTTCTGGTGTTTCGAATGCTGGGAAGATGCGGCGCTTCAAGGTTGCTAATCGAGGGCCTCGACATCGATATCAAAGGACACTTCAATCTTGGGGACACCTGCGATTTGTGCAGCAGCGTGCAGTAGCATCTTCACTTCTCAGTGAACTTCTCACTGAGAGCTGCTGCTGCCTTTGGGAGCCGCAGGGATTCCATCCAGCCGGAACATGCCCAGCTTCTTGTTGTCTTTGGCTAGGGGACGCTCTCCCTGCAAGACTACCACCTGACCAGGCAGTGGGATGCCACGTCTGGGCAGCACATCTGCTGAGGTGCATCGTGCGAAACTTGCCTCGATGGCATCTTGTGCATCTGCTGAGGTTGTGAAAACCCTCGTCGCCTTGCAGCAGCAGTGAGAGACGCCCACAGAGACTCACCGCTCCCCCCCACTGCGACCGCACCTTCCAGGGCACGGCTGTTCCGCGCTCCATCACGGGCGAGAAGACCCCACCATCTGTTTCCACACCCAGCGTCAGGGGTGTTACGTCGATCAGCATGATGTCCTTGACCTGCGTGCACATCGCAAGCCTAAACAAGCAAGCAATCAGGTCCGGTCAGAGCCACCTCACCAGCAATCATGGCAGCTTGGATGGCGGCACCGATGCCGACCACCTCACACGGCAGAATCGGTCACAGGATCTGGGCACCTAGTCTATATTTTACAGGCTTGAAAACCGAAAAACCGGTGCGCGGCTACGGCTCTTACCCAAAACGACGATGCCTCATCCGGGCTGATGGAGATGTTCATCGGCTTGAAGGAGCTGAGCTCCTGCAAGGGCACTCAGGAGCTGCAGCATGTCGGTTCAAGCATCCGGGATCATCCGGGAGCACATGAATCGGTGGACCTTGGCCAAGTTCTGTACGGCTGGAATCCGCGTCGAGCCCCCGACGAGGATTACCTGGGTGTTATTTTGTGCCATATGCCATCGGCAGTTCATAGGATGTCCGCAGCCTCGTGCAGATTCTTTGCCTTCACACGAGAATCCTCACATTGGCCACTAGTTTTATACTTCACCGTTATCACCCAGTCCCGGACGCAGCAAAGAGATGCAAAGAGCACATCTCAACTCGCGCGACATTGTCTTGACTTTCTTAGCCATCTTATAATGGCTATAGCCACACAAGGAGGCAGCGCGGTGCCTTCAACGCTCGCTGAACTGGCTCCTCCAGGCTTTCCAGCAGGTCTCCACAAAGGTCCTCTGACTGTACATCTTCTCAAGTTCTCGCAGCTGCGGGAAGTGCCCCCCAGCGGACCCAAGGAATTGAAAGGGCACAGCAAGGGATGGCAATGCAAGAGTCCTCAAACTTCTCTCTTGTGATGACCTCCTCGATATGCTTTGGACCCGAGTCGTCTGCTGTAATGAAGGGCACAGAGATCCGCACCTGGCAACTTTAGCAGCTCTTGGCAACTTCCTGGAATTTCCGAGACATCCGAGACATCCCTGACATCCCTGACCTCATTCAGGGACGAGAGCTCTATCTTTGCCTTCTCGCTGGCTTCCGCAAGCCGCTGCAAAGCCTGTTTGTCCTTAGGGTGAGAAAGAGAAGGTACTGAGACAGTCTTCGAAGGGTTTAACATTGCTCTTAGGACTAGGGTTTAGGGGACTGGCCAGGTTGTCGTTTCATCTCCGAAGGTGGGATGCCGCAGGAAGGCCAGGGATACGAGGCCCTGATGTTTGGTCATGAAGCACGTTGCCCAACAATTTGTCGATGTTTTGCGGTGGTCCATGCGTTTCGCCTCCGAGCCGTTCGCACCGTTGCTGCAGTATGTCGAGAAGGGTCTGCTTTGTCGCCGGCCCTCTCCAGGACTCCGGGGTCACTGAGTGTCTGGGGCTGTTCTCGTTTCGATTCGCTGCACCTCCCTCTCCTCCCCTTCCACCGCGGCCGCTTTTCAGGCTTGAGCTTTGGGAGTTTAGGGCTGAGCTTTCCACGCCGTCGCCATTGCTGCAATTTGTGAAACCCTTTTTTAGGAAGTGTCTCAAATCATCTTCTCTGCCGGGCAGCACTCTGGAGATCCAGGCCTGTTTCCTTCTCGAAGTTCTGGAGCAGCCATCGCAGTATCCGCTGATCGAAGTCATCGCCACCGAGGTTTGTGTTTCCGTTGGTGGCCAAGACCTGGACAATCTGAATTGCCACACACCAAAGATCACCAAAGAGAAGCCGCAGTCAGTTCGCAGGTCAACTCTTGACTTTTGAAGCGGATGGCTCATTCGAGCAGATGCATGCGAATGCGTGCCTCACATATCCCATCTCCAGCCTGTGCCCGCTTTGAGGTGCAGCGCAGTTAAAGAGCTGCTGATATGAGCTTGCAAACCTTGGAAATCTTGAAATGTCTGCCTCCATGATGGAGACATCGAAGGTGCCACCGCCGAGATCGAAAACAAGAAGGTAGGACCTGGGGTGAAGATGTGTGAAGGCTGCAAGTTGCAAGTTGTAGGAAGTTGCGGGGGTCTTGACATATGGCCATATACATTCAGCAGAATCTACCGCCGCCACCGCTCTTGGGGCCATGCGAGTTCTTCTGGTCCAAACCATACCTAGCGCTGGGGTCACTAGCGGCATCACAGGTCGACGAGGTCCGTCTGAGCTGGCGCACGCCAAGGCTGCCATTGTGGGCTCGTTGCAAATTCTCATGACATCCAGGCCAGCCAGCTTTCCAGCTGTCTTTGTGGCTTGTCTTTGGGAGTCATCAAAGTACCTTGCAGCGTGGTACTTGCATCAACATGTCTCTCTGGGCCGGTATCGGGTTCGTTTGGAATGTGAGCACGCTGGGACGGTGATCACTGCTTTCTTGATCGTGGTGTTTAGGAAGGCTTCCGCATCGTTGCGCAGCTTCCTGACAGCCCACATCTTTGGCAACCCGTGGCAAAAGGCATGCAGCGGCATGCAACGGCTTACAGTGGCTGACAGTGGCTCGCAGGTTGGTGGCCTGAGCACATGGGCGGAGATCTCCTCCGGAGCAAGGTCCCGACCAAGAGCCGGGCAGCCCAGCCTCACCTCTCAAGAACAAGCGCACTTCAAAACATAGCCAGCAGACAGCACAAACTCCATGAATCACGGCGTAGTGTGAACATGTGCTCACTCATTGGCTTGCGCCCCGCGTGTGCTCCTCCCACTCTCAGAGTTGTTCAGCCGCTCAGGGAGCATCAGGGCACCTTCCCGTCCGCATCTTTGAGGTGGTACGGGAGGGCCACGGCCGCCTCTCCCACCTAGTACAGTCTACGACAAGGAGGCAGGTTGATGTAGTTTGCATGCTGTCGAATCTGTCTGCTTAGGTTCAAGCCTCCGCGTATTCTCGCCCGAACCATCGCTTCACAGAGGCGAAGGTGTTTAGGGGATTCAATGCGGCCTGACATTGCAAGGGAAGTTCAAACCCAAAGAGACTTGCCGCCGGCCCACACCTGGCGCTTGGCAGTCGTACCCACAAGGATGTCTCCATCCTCAGCATAGGCCACCACCTCGGAACACAACAGAGTGTTCATAAATGTCCCTTGCGTTACTTGATTCCCTTGATCAGCTTCCGGCGCTTGGTGTTGTGCGCTCGCCCTTCCATGCAGTGCAGCACAACAGCGTTGCCAGCAAAAGCTTTCAGTCACTCACACCATCTCACTCTCACTCCTCTCGGGATAGGCCATGCCTCTGCATTCGGTATGATGGCTGGCGTAGCTGCTTCCACAGCAGCCACGACCGAATTGCTGGTGCCCAGATCAATGCCCACCACCTTTCGAGCAGCAAATCAAGCCTTTGGAGACTCGGGAAAAGGAACGCGCTTCAGATACACTTTTGCCTGGCCTTCTCACCCAGCCCGACGGCCTCGGCAGAGCATGCAATCAACCAGCACGCCTCCTCTGCATCACTCTTTGAACTGGTTCAAAGGCTCGGGCTCTCCGCCTGGAAGGCTCCGAGGAGGCCCGGCCCCTCCAAGAGCTGGGCGATAACCCAAGTCCGAGGCTCCGCGAAACGCGCAGGCCGCGGTGGGCGCGAGGGCTGCGGTGTGCAGCGTGGGAGACAAGCCCCGCCAACAGGGCCGCCAAAGATGTTGGGCGATGTGGGCCCTGGCCCTCGGTTTCGGATCTTCGTGGGGGCCTTTGAGGCCTTTGGGGCCTTGAGCATCCCCGGTGCACGGGCTCGGTGTAGTCCAGTGCCAGGATGGGCTCCATATGACAAAGCATCCAAGTTCTCGTTGCTCTATAATCTTCGGTTTTGTCTCATGCACTGCTCGTGCAAGACAAGGTTCACTCCTTCTTGAGCATCCGGAGTGCTGGGCTGTCTGCTTCTGACAGATGCTCTGCCTTACCGTCTTACCGTCTTCCCCATGATGTCTAGGCTGCTAGTGACTGGTAGTGTGCCAAGCCAAAGGCTGCAACAAAGCACAAAAGCACAGGGCCGACTGCAGAGAACCATCAGAAACTATCGGTACGAGTTTGAGAAGACATGCTGAGCCATGCATTGCCATGCTGCACGATTGTCGCGGCGGGCATCACTTTCAAGCGAACTTTGCTCAATTAGTCCTCCCCTCCGTGCTGCTTTACAGCTTCAACTTAAGATGGCGATCTAGGACAGCCGCCTGTGCTGAATGGAGGTGGCCTTGAGAGGCACATGTCATGAACTTTATTTAGAGATGTGTGCTTCAAAATTTGGGGTGATGATATGTCCAAGAAATCTATATAATGGCGGTCGCATTCGCTTGTGTTAAAAGCTTGTCTCAGGTCACGCCCCCTGCTCGTGGAATTCCACGATGGCGCACACACGACTCTGAATTGGACATGGCTGAACCTGCACACGGACTCTGAAATTCAGGTCGGCGCACGAGCGATATGAACAAAGGCCGCGACTACGGGACCCTTGTGCTGCACCCGCCGCTAAGACCGCAGGGCAGCTCTTGGGTCCGCAGTCAGCATCTGAGTCTGCTCAAAGATCTGCAAAGATCTGCAAAGTGCCCCAACTCAGTGAGCTCGCTGTGCGTTGCACTTGAGCTTGAAGCCCTGAGGCATTTGGGATTCTGGGAAGGGCTCTCTTTCAAACCCAAGCTTCCATGTGGCCGAGCCTGCAGCTTCTCGATGCACTCAGACACCTCCTTCAAATTCTCTCGCACCTGCGATTCCCATCATCGACGACCGTTTCTCTTCTGACGAAGACAAGCTCTCAACTGCAGCCAACTAGCTGACTAGCTATTCTGGCTTTTTTGGCCTGCCTTCGTTACCTCTCCTTCAAGGCGCTCGCGCCGCGCCTGTCATGGAATGTCGCCATCTCGGCTTCCAGTCGCTTCGATAAATCCGAGCCCGCCTTGTAGTTGGTCTTGTCCGCATCGGAGAGTGAGATCTTGTTCATGTCCTGAAACGACTCAGGGAGGCTCAGGCTCATGGAGGCTCCATGTCGTAAGTTCTCATCCTTTTGCTCAGGCTGCACCGGTCCTCTTCTAGTCGACGCAGCATCGGCAGCTTGAAAAAGGACTCTGCAAACAGTTCTACCTGCTCCGCAAAGTGCCCTACACTTGGGGAGTGAGTTATCTGCCGAGGCCTGGGGCCGTAGGAGTTCTGGTATAGTGTCTCAGGCGCTCACCGCCTAATCCTCCTCCGGCGCATTTGTTGCGCCCTTTGTTTGCTTTTTAGCTTTACCTGGAATGGGTACCGACGTCGCCGATCGGCATCCGGGAGGACGGCAGTGCAGCGCCTCAGCACATCGCCTTGCAGACAACTCGGCTCAAAAGTGTCAGGCGACAGGGAAACTTCTAGGGCGTGCCCCTCATGGGTCAGAAACGCCCTTGCCCGGGTGCCCCACATCCACTAGTATGCACGACTGCTTTGAAGCACCAGCAGACGTCTTCTATGGATTTCTACGGTCCCTGCTCCAAGCTGCCCCAGGCCCAGGCTTGTCGCGTAGCGTCAAAATGAGGGCATGGGAATTTCGTGGAATTCCCATAGCCATTTTACCATCCTTCCAACACCCTGGCAGGCCTGATCGCACACCTGGGACCTGATGAAGCTGTACGTTTTGAGGACCAGCATCTGGACCTTGTCCACTGCCTCCCATGCCAAAAATCAGGCATCTGATAACATGTAGCAACATGTAGTAGTAGTCCGTTCTTGCAGGCAGCGACTGTCCTCGTCAATCTGATGGGACTCCGTGGGGATTTCAAGCAGCCACTTGGAAAGGGTGCTCTCGATCCCGGACCGGCTCTGGATCTCTTTTGGAATCCTCTCCTTCGCTCGCACATGAGGGTACATCGCTTCAGGCTCTCGAGATCAATTCCCTCCAGAACCCCGGAGCCCTTTGCGTGATGAAAAGAACCTTCCCGCAAGACTCTTGAACTGGGGGCTCGGGATGCCAATGACACTGAACTACCCCCGTGCCGATCGCTCCTTGGTGTCATCGATGGAGGGCAGCGCAGCATCGGCATCCTCCTTCGAGGGGCCGCACAGGGTTTTGCAAGGTGCACAGTCAATAGAAGCCTCTTAGGTACAAAAGGTGCACGAATGACTTGGCACGGAGACCTCACTCCATGCCCACGCCTCCTCTGTGTAACCTCCGTAGGTCGCGCCCTTGAGGAAGACCCAGGGATTGGCAAAGGTCGACCTGTGGCCGTCGCAGCAAACGGAGTAGAAAATGATGTTGAGTTGAGGGGCACCACAACGTCGCAGATGCCCCTGCTACCTCACTGACGTCACTTCAAACCTGAAGGGGAAACATCCAAGACCTTGCTGAGCCCTTGGACTATAGGGTTCTGGGCACAAAAATTACATTACATTACATTACATTACATTACATTACATTACATTACATTACATTACATTACATTACATTACGCTACATTACGCTACATTACGTTACATTACGTTACATTACGTTACATTACATTACATTACATTACATTACGTTGCATTACGCTACATTTCATTACATTAAATTATACATTGCATTGCATTACATTACTTACGTTGCGTAACGTTACATAACGTTACATTACATTTCAGTACGAAACATTACATACATACATCAGTGTGCAGAAATGGGCTGCTGGTCAGCGATACAGCCCAAGCCCTAAAGCTCTAGAACCTGAAAACGAACAACCCTGTACACGCGGAAGCCCTGTGCATTGCTATCAACACCCGAAAGCCTTAATACTACTATCAGCAGAAAAAAACCTAGCCCCTAAACCCTACTTTAAAACCCTGCAACCCTAAGCGTCAAACAAGCCAGAAAGCCCTATAACCCAAAACCCTACCCGATTCCCTTCACTTCGTCCGGCTGACGTAAGCATGTTGTCGAAAAGCTCGATAAACTGATTCAGCTGGCGCTGACAGGCCTGCCAGATTTGGGCCCCTCTTGGTTTCGGGGGCACTCCTCAGCACCTCAGCACCTCACCTCACATGCTACCGACCTGAAGCTCAACGTGACCACATTCTGGCTTACTCATCAACATTGGTGTTCATTGAAGCCTGATCGTAGGTGGAGAAAACCAGGTGTTTGATCATCTCATTCTGCTTGATGAGCTTCACCTTGCCATCCGAAGGAAGCCCTCCCCCACGCCACAGCCCCAAACAAACCCAAGCAATTTAAAGCTCTACTTGTGCACCCTTATTCCAATGCCCAAAAGCCCTAGCCCTGGGCGCACGTTCTTCCAGAGCAGACTGGAGTACATCGTCGAGCTCGGATTCCCCTCCAGGCTGCTCATAAAGTCGATGACTGCTTCCTGCGGCTGCATTGGCTTAGGGTTTAGGTTTGGTTGCATGTTTATTCGGTGGCTTGTGGGGGGGGATGGCTCGGATCCTTCTGGATCTGGAAGAACCACTTGATGCGCTCGCCGACGTATTGGACCCTTCCTTTGAGAAGCAGGCGGTTCGACGTGGGATGGCAGGGGATCCTCATGACAGAAGCTCTGCCCTGGGCTCTGCAACGGCAGGTGTGCTTCGTTGCTCAGGAGCTTCACCACCACATCGCGCCAAGTCAAGGAGCTCATGGACACGCCGCGTGCCTAGGGCTCCACACGTCTCCACATGGCTCCACGGAAAGTTGAGGACATCATGGACATCAAGTTGTTGAAGACCCCGCCTGGATGACGTCACGCTTCTTGGTCTCCACAGCAATTTCGGAAAATCGGAGGAAAATCTCAACCTCGACTCTGAGGTGGTGCAGCCAGTCCTAGATGGAGCCTTCTGTGCATTGAACCCTGGTCAGCTTCATCGACTCAGCCGGGAGCTTCAGACATCACCCGGCGAAACTGGGCACCGCCGTTGACCTGCCAAGGCACTTGCCATGCTTGCCTGCACGTACATGCTGGCAGCGAATTCACGCAACTTGCCTCTGCATCTGAAGCACCGACTTGTATTTCGTTCGTGAGGTACCTACAGCTAGGCACATCGACCAACCGTGGTCAAGCCCTCCATCGCGCGACGCGGGCACTCTATGTAGTCATCTAGATCACGGAAGTCCTCCGACGGAAGCATCACGAAGTGATCTGACCCGACCTTAAGAGCAAAGCGCGGTCTTCACTGATGGGAGCATCGTAGCGTATCGTAAGAAGTGGAAAGCCGGAGGCCCCGCTTTTAAGTGATGGTCATGGAATGACCTGAGCTCTGAATCGAGCTTCATCCGGCCAGTCATCAGGTTCGGAATACCCTGGCACCAAGCGAAAGTGACTCGTAGTGTGACTCGTAGTGTGAAGGTGTGCGAAGCCATTGGAAGCCGGGCCTCCATGACATGCCTCAAGGCCTGCGCGAAGGAGGTCCCGCACTCCCGGGTTGTGCTCAAGATCCTGCCACGATCCGTGAGGAGGCAGCGCAAACATAAACCATCGGCCGTGAGCATTCACGTGCCTTTGCATTGACCTGCTTTAACGATGGCTTCCGATGAACGGCTGAGAGCTATGGAGCTATGCTTCCTGACGTCGCGTTCTGGCACAGGCGAAGTCTGGGCTGGAGCCAAGGCTGTGCTTGACCATCGCCAAATTGTGAAACACGTCGCACTCACCAGGCTTAAAAGATGGTTGACTCACCGAAGTCGGCTCACTGAAGTTGACTGTCATTTACTCTGAGATAACATCTAACTACTCGACCGGTATGGAAGTCAGGCCCGCCGAGAGGTCCTCCTCCGGGTGGTCACGTCGATAGTCCAGCAAATCCGTGAGCCCAACTCCGGGAAGATGCCGGCGTTCGGCCCAGAGCTCTAAGGTTTCCAGATCCAACCCCCATTGCTCAGCTGCCGCAGATGCGATGGCACCCATTCGGGCTCTCTTCTCTCTCTTGGGCGCTTCGCCTTCAGGGCCTTCAGGCTCTGAACCCATGGGGTGATCCCGGTGATCCAGGTGAGCCATCCCAATGCTGCCAATGCTGCCAATGCCGCCAATGCCCGCCCCAGCATCTGCACAGGTGCCACCAGTGGCACGAATGCCACCTGCTGCCAGGTCTGCGCCTGACATGGCGCTCATGGTGCCGTGGCTGCGTTTGCTGCGCCGAGAGGCAGCGGCGCCCTCGCCTTGCGCGGCCACCGCACCCGAGCCCAGGCCGCTGGGAGAGGAGGCTCCCCCGGCCTTGTCTGCCTCACGCGTGTGGAAAACGCCACCCCCAGCAACCTCCGCCTCGCTGTCCTCAGGAAAGCGAATGTTCGGCACAGCCCAGAGAGGGCACTAAACTTGAGGGGTCCGCCCTACAGCGACATGAAAAGCTAGAGCAGAGCTAGAGCTGCGCGTTCGAAGACATCCAAGCAGCGCAGCGTTCTCGGCGATCTCGGCGTTCCGGCACCCGCGGCAGGTCGTGGGAGGCCAAGAGCAAGTGGTGCTCCGAGGACACGCGCTCGGCACTGGCAAGCTCTGGCAAGTGTATCATTCTCCTAGTCGAATCTATTCGATATTCTGTCTTTCGCTTGGGGTTGTTGAAACATTTGCACCTGTCAAATACACTCTACATGAAGAGATGCTTTGCTGGCCGCATGGCTGATCCTTTAACATGTGCCACACGGTCCAACTATACTGTCCAACTGGACGCAAAAGGCTGTCATTGGCTGTCGGCGACAAGCGGCAGATGACGGCAGCACAATGCGCATATCCCAGCTCAAGGATGCTTCAAGACACCAGAAAATGCCAGAAAACCACATAAGGAGATGCCCATATGGGCGCACCTGTGGGGGTCAGTCTCCTCGTGCTCGGTGACGAGGCTCTGTTCCTTGGAGGTCCACTTGGCCTTCAGCTCCTTCAGCTTGTCCAACACGGGGTTGATGGCGTCCGCGAACATGTGCTCGATCTTCTTCTCCATGAAGTTCGCGAAGGACTGGAAGCCGATGGTCTGCCAGCGCAGGCAGGGCAGAGAGCCGTCGCTTTTTTGTCTAATCATCAGGAGACTGTTTTGTCTCGAGTTTAATTAAAGTGCCTCAAGGTACTGCGGCTTCAGCATCCGATCCCTCATCTCCTTCATATCCTGCCCGCGCCGGACTTCTTACTGGGGCCCAGACAGCCCGACAGGCGTGCTCACAAGGTGGCCTTCTGATTGAACTCTTCCCGCAGCTTCACGAAGGACTCGGCAGGACACGCCTCTCCATCCTGGAGGGCCAGCAAGCATGAAGGAACCTTTAGTCTTTAGCGCGTTGCGAACTGGGGAGCCACTCTGATTCAAGCTTCCTGATGTAAAAAGCTTTCGATCTATTGATGAACGACGTGCTTTCACCCTCATGCTGTGGTGCTGCTGTAGGCTGAACTGCTCAAGGGCCAAGGCTACGTCGAAGTTCCCACAATACAGGGAAAGTTCGGCCCGGTTTGGCCCAAAGAGCCGAGCCTGCCACCAGGGCAGTGTCAAGGCGAAGCGAACCAAGTTTTCGGGAAGGTCGCCGAAGCCATCCACCCACTGGTTGACGTTCTCCTTCCTCGCAAGCTTCGAGAGAATGCAACATGATGCAACAGGAATGAGGAATGCATGGGGACCCATTCTGATGGAAAAATCACTCGTCAAGCGGGCTCTTGGAAGCTCACGTCAAGTCAGTGTAGTACTTGTCCAGCTTCGTGCGGACGAGAATGGTCCTTGCAACTGAGGGTAGTTTACAATAGCAGTGAACTCAGGCGCCTCACGGCTCAAGCAAGCAGAGCAATTTCACGGAGGTCAGCAGAAGCAGGATGGTGGATTCACAGGGTTTCTCGTTCACTCGTAGACAGAAACCCTTGGCAGTTCAGACTTCTGGCGCGGTCCTCTGAAACTTTGGGTCAATCGAGCGGCACTTGCCCAAGGTGGACATGGTGGCTGCGTCCCCGCACTGGGCGATTGAGACGTGAGCAGGAAAAGGCAAAATGTGCTCGCAAGTCAAGACCCGACCTGCTCCACGCAAAGCATCACATTGCGAGGATCCCGCATGAATTGCATCACAAGCTCTTCGATCCTCTTTGTGAAGAGGCGTTCTGTGACCGCCATGCAACACAATATGCTGCTGAGACATGGCTGCTCTGTGACAGGCACCGCACCTGTTGCACAGCTCCTGCTTGGAGGTGTCCAGTGCAAAGTCCCGGAAGCCCGGAAGGTCAACTATTTGCATGTCCACACAAGCAGGAGACCTTGTGGTCAAGATCATGCAAGGCACGGACTCACACAACCCGTAATCACCGTGATCCTCGTTTCTGTCTGCCACTGAGTGCCGCACTGGACTCGAACACAAATGGGATCAGAAGAAACCTCATGTGAATCTCATTTGGTTCTATGTGCCCCTTTGGGATCCGTAATGTGGCTACTCTGCAACTCTCAACATTCCGACATTCCGAAATCATGCTGGCGCACAAGGGCCCCTTGTGTTGGCTAACGTTGGGTAACCAACTTGTGTGTTTCGGGGAGACAGTGCAGTCGGTTTGGAACATCTTTGGGGCCCGACTGTCTCCCCTAGCTCTTCATGCGCATCGCCGACCTGCAGACATCACGGACCACCGCGAGACGTTGCAATGGTGTACCCAGCTTCGAGGTTGCGGCCAGCTGCATGACTCTGCTGATCTCGTGCTCGTTCCAGTGGCCTGTGGCCCTATCCCGGACGAACCTTGGGCTCCCCAGGGCTACAGCGCACTTGCATCATAAAGCCGAGCGCGTGCAAGAGGCAGAATTGCAACTACATTAACTACATCCCATGACCACGTGTGAGACAAAGTCACAGAGGCCTTGTGTGTTCAACAGAACTTACGTCAACAAACAGAAAACTCATGAGCGCGTTTGCTGGCGCTCGTCAGTTGTTGAAGGTTGATGGATTTTGCGGCGAAACTCCGGGATCCAGAGCTTCGCTTACCATGTTACTATGTGTAGTTGCGGAACTTGAACATTTGCATGTGCGCAGCGGCTTCGACGCAATGTGGCTTGCACCCTGGTCAGAGCTGCCGGAACGAAAAGATACAGAGTAGGCTCCGGGCCACTTGGATGCCTTCGAGCCAGCAACGTTGCGGAACTCGAGGATTGTGGGCCGCCGGCTGCCTCCCATCTCGTCTCGGACACAGGAGGGGCGAGGCGGACCCGCTGTAAAATCAAAATCCTAAACGCCCAAAGTCTGAAGAACAATGCTTCTACCGATTCGCTGGCATTCTGCGATCCGCCGAAATTAAGTTTCAAAAGAAGCACTTCGTGAGTTCCGTTTCCCGGTTCAGCCGATGCCTAACGTTCCGGAGATGAAGTTGAAGGTCTCCCCCGCAAGGGCCTCGGAAACCGGACTCCGTGCAAGAAGAGCTTTTAATGGGATTTGGGGGGGGGCTCAAACCGGCTCAAGCCGGCTCAGGCGGTTTGACACAGGTACCCGTCTGCAACCCCACCTCGATGAGTCGGCTCTTTCCCACCGACTGCTTGCCAATCAAGATGAACTGAGGCCTGGCAGAGGGGGGCAACTAGGGGTCTCTGAGCTCTCCGGTGCTTTGGTGATACTCGTAGTGAGAGAAAACCAAGTAGATTTTATAACTTCATGGTACACACATACCCCGATTTGCGATACGCAAGGGTGTAAAGAAAAGGGTGTAGTAAGGGTGTAAGATCCAGGCATTGGAAAGTCCACGATCCCAATCTTGTCCTGCATTGCACATTGACTTCGGGAGTTCCCCCCCTTTTCTCCGAGTCGAAGCTGGACTCTTGTAGAGGTGACTCAATGAGGAGCGCGTCCTGCACGCGGGCTTTGACATCGCCCAGCAGGTTCAGGAGCTCGGACCGGGATCCCACACCTGTTGAGAGAGAGAGAGAGAGACCGAGATGAAGACACAAAACTTTAAAAGCCAACAATCAACAACCGGAAGAGTCGCATGAGTCTTCTTGAGGGCGGCACCGGCCATGGTGGGCCACTGAGCCAACAGTGGAGCCGCGGCCCGGTGTGTCTATAAAATCGAAGCTGCGGAACCCCGCCCCAAGTTCATCCAAGTTGGGCCAAGGCCCAGGAGCGCAAAATGATCAGATGTTTAATTTGCTTTGAATGACCGGGAGGGTCAGTGACCCTGCAGTGATGTTGAACGCCTACAACTCTTAACGCTAAACTGCCAAACCCCGAAAAGATTGGGTGCCATGCCATTCCACCTTTGGCCCGTGCAATTAGAGTTTTTCAAAAATGGTAGCAGGTCAAACCAGCATGGGCCAAGGGGTATTTTGCTCCCAGACAGCGCTGCCTTCACGAAGGCCGTGTGCAACCTGAGTCTCTGGCTGAACGCCACTCGCCGCTCCATCTGAACAGGAAAACTGAGCGAGAGTTCCGCAACTCCAGTTGCTCAGAGAACGTCGATGCACTTCAGGTCCTCCATGCACTTCACCAGGCGGTCCGCCATGACCTCCTCGCCAGACCGGAGGGACATGCGAGGATCGTAGTACTTCTTGTTGGGCTTCTCCGGGCCCTCCGGGTTTCCGATCTGGGCCTGCAGGTAGTCCTTGTTCTTCTTCTGGTAGGAGTTCATGCCATCCCAGAAGGCCCACTGCGTGTCCTCGGTGTCATGTTGAGGTGCATGCTGCATGTTGGGGTCCGCGCCTGAATCTTAAAAAACATACAGTGATTTGGGGAAGCCCGAAATGCTGGAGAGAACCTCCCCTCGACGCCAAAAGCAGGCTTGTCACAGGCCTATCAGACCTATCATATCTACGCCCAGAGTCCGTGTCGATGTTCATCTTGATGACGCCAGCCTCGATGGCATAGCGGATGTCCTCCAGGGAAGAGCCGGAGCCTCCGTGGAACACGAAAGACACTGGCTTGTCCTCGTCGGTGCCAAGCTTCTCCTTGATGAACTTCTGGGTGTTGTGCAGGATCACTGGCTGCAGGTCCACGTTGCCCGGGGCATACACTCCGTGGACGTTGCCGAACGCCGCCGCCACGGTGAACCTGCCGTTCGGCACGGCTGACAGAGTCTCGTAGACCTGCCACACCTCCTCAGGCTGGGTGTACAGCCTGGAGGAGTCCACGTCACTGTTGTCCACGCCATCCTCCTCGCCACCAGTGACGCCCAGCTCCATCTCCAAGAGCAGATCCACCTTGGCCATGCGCTCGCAGTACTTCTTGCAGATGGCGATGTTATCCTCCAGAGGCTCCTCAGACAGGTCGAGCATGTGGGACGAGAACAGAGGCTCGCCGTTTTTCTCGAAATACTCCTCATTGGCCTCCATGAGCCCATCGAACCAAGGCAACCAAGCCTTCTGGCAGTGGTCAGTGTGGAGGATCACCGGCACACCGTAGAGCTTGGCCACCTGGCGGACGTGGAGGGCGCCAGCCACAGTGCCCGCGATGCAGGCTGCATCGTCGGTGTTGTCTGCAGCCTTGCCGGCGATGAACTGGCCGCCGCCACGAGAGAAGGTGACCATGATGGGCCCGCCAGCCTTCTTGGCGGCCTCCATGCACGCATTGATGGAGCTGCTGCTCACCACGTTGACTCCCGGAATGGCAAACCCCTTCTCCTTCGCATAGTTCAGCAAGTCTACCAGGGCCTGGCCGGTGACCACACCGGGCTTCACGGATGCGGGCATCTTGGTGAAGGTCTTCTCGGCAACCGCAGTGGCCTGGCGGACCACCTGGCATCGGCGCTGTGTGCGCTTGCCAGCCTGCGCGGCGGCAGCTGCGATGCCAGCCGCGCCCAGAGCCAGGGCGGCCGTCGCGGAGGTGGTGGAGGTCGCGCTGACCGCAGCCTGCTGCCGCAGCTGGCGCACCTCACGCTGCTCCTGCACCTGCGGGGCGGCAGGGGCCACGAAGGCCTGGGCGGCGGCGTATGCGCCCACGCCGGCGAGGGCGACTGCGCAACCCTTGGAAGGCATGGTGGAGCGCAGAAGCAACAAGGCGCGAGCGGAAAAACTGGGCCAAAAGCTATGAGCCAAGGACACGAGTAAGTACAAAGAGCACCGCCAGCAAGGATGTCGCAGAAGCGGTCTTGGGTCTTGATATTAACTGCAACTAGTCCGTCAAGGATTCTCAGTGCTGCAAAGTCGGGACTCTCTGCACCGAGAACGAATCCCCGCGTATGGCCCCGCCCTGTGATGCCAAGAGCTGCAAGGCCTGATGAACTTTGTCTATCCCCCGTACCTCTTGAATCTGAGGCTCTGAGACTCTCTGGTCGACCCGCCATACCCGCCTCGGACTTCAGGAGACCCAAAAAATCCCCCTTTTTGATGGTTCATGGCTCTTCGGACTTCGGCGTTGTTCTTAGTGGCATGGCCTCAGGGGATATGTCACATTACCAGCATTTTACCTGTACTGGTAGCAACCGTTCACATCTTGACCCGCGCGATGCTGTGATGATGAAACAGTAGTTCTCAACGCAAGATCTCGTGAGACTGGAGATGGACCTGTGTTGCCATACAAGCCTTGTCGCGAAGAGAACAGTGAGAACAGCTTTCTTAGAAACCCTATTGTCACGAAGAGTTTCAAAAAGACCGGGCCTTACACAGAATCATACCCGAATGGCCAGGGGGCCGTTTAGTCCTAAGCTGACATTTCTAAGCTGGCGTTCAATAGGCAATAGGCCATGTCTGCCGTCTGAAGATGTCGGATGTCGAACACAGAAGTCAAAGCACGAGCTCGTGACAGTTCGCTTGCAGCTGTGTCGTCACGGCTACAACACTTTACAGCTATTGCGTATCTATTGTTATTGCAGTTAAGCGGCCAACTCTAGGCGGAGCTACTGCAGGTAATCCGTTTTCTTTCAAAGAGCAAATGCCCGCGGCAGATGTCGATTGATCAATAAGGTCTCCGAACGAGTCCCATGGCTCCTTGTCCACCCGAGACAATTCGGCTTGGCCTAAATGGCCCTCAGTGTGACCTGAAAACTACTTACGAGCATGGAAAACTCAGCTGCTGTTGAGCTGCTGTTGCTGGCGATGTCCAGATCGGTCTACTCATCAGAGAACGTCGATGCACTTCAGGTCCTCCATGCACTTCACCAGGCGGTCCGCCATGACCTCCTCGCCAGACCGGAGGGACATGCGAGGATCGTAGTACTTCTTGTTGGGCTTCTCCGGGCCCTCCGGGTTTCCGATCTGGGCCTGCAGGTAGTCCTTGTTCTTCTTCTGGTAGGAGTTCATGCCGTCCCAGAAGGCCCACTGCGTGTCCTCGGTGTCATGTTGAGCTGCATGCTGCATGTTGGGGTCCACGCCTGAATCTTAAAAAACATACAGTGATTTGGGGAAGCCCGAAATGCTGGAGAGAACCTCCCCTCGACGCCAAAAGCAGGCTTGTCACAGGCCTATCAGACCTATCATATCTACGCCCAGAGTCCGTGTCGATGTTCATCTTGATGACGCCAGCCTCGATGGCATAGCGGATGTCCTCCAGGGAAGAGCCGGAGCCTCCGTGGAACACGAAAGACACTGGCTTGTCCTCGTCGGTGCCAAGCTTCTCCTTGATGAACTTCTGGGTGTTGTGCAGGATCACTGGCTGCAGGTCCACGTTGCCCGGGGCATACACTCCGTGGACGTTGCCGAACGCCGCCGCCACAGTGAACCTGCCGTTCGGCACGGCTGACAGAGTCTCGTAGACCTGCCACACCTCCTCGGGCTGGGTGTACAGCCTGGAGGAGTCCACGTCACTGTTGTCCACGCCATCCTCCTCGCCACCAGTGACGCCCAGCTCCATCTCCAAGAGCAGATCCACCTTGGCCATGCGCTCGCAGTACTTCTTGCAGATGGCGATGTTATCCTCCAGAGGCTCCTCAGACAGGTCGAGCATGTGGGACGAGAACAGAGGCTCGCCGTTTTTCTCGAAATACTCCTCATTGGCCTCCATGAGCCCATCGAACCAAGGCAACCAAGCCTTCTGGCAGTGGTCAGTGTGGAGGATCACCGGCACACCGTAGAGCTTGGCCACCTGGCGGACGTGGAGGGCGCCAGCCACAGTGCCCGCGATGCAGGCTGCATCGTCGGTGTTGTCTGCAGCCTTGCCGGCGATGAACTGGCCGCCGCCACGAGAGAAGGTGACCATGATGGGCCCGCCAGCCTTCTTGGCGGCCTCCATGCACGCATTGATGGAGCTGCTGCTCACCACGTTGACTCCCGGAATGGCAAACCCCTTCTCCTTCGCATAGTTCAGCAGGTCTACCAGGGCCTGGCCGGTGACCACACCGGGCTTCACGGATGCGGGCATCTTGGTGAAGGTCTTCTCGGCAACCGCAGTGGCCTGGCGGACCACCTGGCATCGGCGCTGTGTGCGCTTGCCAGCCTGCGCGGCGGCAGCTGCGATGCCAGCCGCGCCCAGAGCCAGGGCGGCCGTCGCGGAGGTGGTGGAGGTCGCGCTGACCGCAGCCTGCTGCCGCAGCTGGCGCACCTCACGCTGCTCCTGCACCTGCGGGGCGGCCGGGGCCACGAAGGCCTGGGCGGCGGCGTATGCGCCCACGCCGGCGAGGGCGACTGCGCAACCCTTGGAAGGCATGGCTTTAGAGTGGGAGCAGGAGAAGAACAACCAGTCAAGAAATGAGCCGAACTCACAACAGCAAAGTGAGATGTGGCAGGGCTGCCAAGCACATCGAGCAACGTGCCGCAGATTTAGTCGAATGGGCATGGCAAGATGTAAAGAGGACCCACTGGATCAGCGAGGCTGCTGCTCTACATTTATCTGCGGTCATGAACGCGTTTGAAAAGCTAGCGCAATGTCTTCCCCGCAACAAACTGCACTGACAAAGTTCACAAGGAACCAAATGATGACGAAAGGGAAATGAAACGACCGTAAGCTCTAACGAAAGTTTATATCAACAGAGCTCTTGGTGGTTGGCTGGCAACACAAGGACCACGAAATGCGAGTACGCTAAAAATTGAGCTGTTCTAAGACTGCGATTCATGTGAAAGCGGGTGGTATCTACGCATCATGCACCATACTGCCATTCCGATACTAGCATTGACTGCCTGCCAAGACGCAGCAAGCTGATGAACACAACTTGGGCAAACAACCATCTCCAGTTTTGCTGCCACGCAGGCACCTTTGCGAACGTGGTATGCAAACACAGCGCGAAATCTGAATCTGTGGCTGAATGCCACTCGCCGCTCCATCTGAACAGGAAAACTGAACGAGAGTTCCGCAACTCCAGTTGCTCAGAGAACGTCGATGCACTTCAGGTCCTCCATGCACTTCACCAGGCGGTCCGCCATGACCTCCTCGCCAGACCGGAGGGACATGCGAGGGTCGTAGTACTTCTTGTTGGGCTTCTCCGGGCCCTCCGGGTTTCCGATCTGGGCCTGCAGGTAGTCCTTGTTCTTCTTCTGGTAGGAGTTCATGCCGTCCCAGAAGGCCCACTGCGTGTCCTCGGTGTCATGTTGAGCTGCATGCTGCATGTTGGGGTCCACGCCTGAATCTTAAAAAAATTAAAGTGATTTGGGGAAGCCCGAAATGCTGGAGAGAACCTCCCCTCGACGCCAAAAGCAGGCTTGTCACAGGCCTATCAGACCTATCATATCTACGCCCAGAGTCCGTGTCGATGTTCATCTTGATGACGCCAGCCTCGATGGCATAGCGGATGTCCTCCAGGGAAGAGCCGGAGCCTCCGTGGAACACGAAAGACACTGGCTTGTCCTCGTCGGTGCCAAGCTTCTCCTTGATGAACTTCTGGGTGTTGTGCAGGATCACTGGCTGCAGGTCCACGTTGCCCGGGGCATACACTCCGTGGACGTTGCCGAACGCCGCCGCCACGGTGAACCTGCCGTTCGGCACGGCTGACAGAGTCTCGTAGACCTGCCACACCTCCTCAGGCTGGGTGTACAGCCTGGAGGAGTCCACGTCACTGTTGTCCACGCCATCCTCCTCGCCACCAGTGACGCCCAGCTCCATCTCCAAGAGCAGATCCACCTTGGCCATGCGCTCGCAGTACTTCTTGCAGATGGCGATGTTATCCTCCAGAGGCTCCTCAGACAGGTCGAGCATGTGGGACGAGAACAGAGGCTCGCCGTTTTTCTCGAAATACTCCTCATTGGCCTCCATGAGCCCATCGAACCAAGGCAACCAAGCCTTCTGGCAGTGGTCAGTGTGGAGGATCACCGGCACACCGTAGAGCTTGGCCACCTGGCGGACGTGGAGGGCGCCAGCCACAGTGCCCGCGATGCAGGCTGCATCGTCGGTGTTGTCTGCAGCCTTGCCGGCGATGAACTGGCCGCCGCCACGAGAGAAGGTGACCATGATGGGCCCGCCAGCCTTCTTGGCGGCCTCCATGCACGCATTGATGGAGCTGCTGCTCACCACGTTGACTCCCGGAATGGCAAACCCCTTCTCCTTCGCATAGTTCAGCAAGTCTACCAGGGCCTGGCCGGTGACCACACCGGGCTTCACGGATGCGGGCATCTTGGTGAAGGTCTTCTCGGCAACCGCAGTGGCCTGGCGGACCACCTGGCATCGGCGCTGTGTGCGCTTGCCAGCCTGCGCGGCGGCAGCTGCGATGCCAGCCGCGCCCAGAGCCAGGGCGGCCGTCGCGGAGGTGGTGGAGGTCGCACTGACCGCAGCCTGCTGCCGCAGCTGTCGCACCTCACGCTGCTCCTGCACCTGCGGGGCGGCCGGGGCCACGAAGGCCTGGGCGGCGGCGTATGCGCCCACGCCGGCGAGGGCGACTGCGCAACCCTTGGAAGGCATGGCTTTAGAGTGGGAGCAAGACTGAGGCTTCGTCTGTGCCTGAAAGCTGGGCAAACATACCCTCAAGCAACGCCGCACATCCGATCCAGATGCTCATGCTCAAACCGACCCTGATGAACTGAAATCCAGCTTGTTCACCGTGCATCTGGTCAGTCACTCTACTTGGACAAGCCGGACAAAGCCACACGGCTTTTAAAAGACTCTCAGCGTGATCTGAAGACCATGCAACCGAGAATCTGCTGGAAAACTGGCTGCTGCTGTTCCGCAACCTGTTTGCGTAACTACTCTACTGACTCTACTGCTCGCACAATCTCGCCCCAATCCTCAGAGAACGTCGATGCACTTCAGGTCCTCCATGCACTTCACCAGGCGGTCCGCCATGCTCTCCTCGCCAGACCGGAGGGACATGCGAGGGTCGTAGTACTTCTTGTTGGGCTTCTCCGGGCCCTCCGGGTTTCCGATCTGGGCCTGCAGGTAGTCCTTGTTCTTCTTCTGGTAGGAGTTCATGCCGTCCCAGAAGGCCCACTGCGTGTCCTCGGTGTCATGTTGAGGTGCATGCTGCATGTTGGGGTCCGCGCCTGAATCTTAAAAAACATACAGTGATTTGGGGAAGCCCGAAATGCTGGAGAGAACCTCCCCTCGACGCCAAAAGCAGGCTTGTCACAGGCCTATCAGACCTATCATATCTACGCCCAGAGTCCGTGTCGATGTTCATCTTGATGACGCCAGCCTCGATGGCATAGCGGATGTCCTCCAGGGAAGAGCCGGAGCCTCCGTGGAACACGAAAGACACTGGCTTGTCCTCGTCGGTGCCAAGCTTCTCCTTGATGAACTTCTGGGTGTTGTGCAGGATCACTGGCTGCAGGTCCACGTTGCCCGGGGCATACACTCCGTGGACGTTGCCGAACGCCGCCGCCACAGTGAACCTGCCGTTCGGCACGGCTGACAGAGTCTCGTAGACCTGCCACACCTCCTCGGGCTGGGTGTACAGCCTGGAGGAGTCCACGTCACTGTTGTCCACGCCATCCTCCTCGCCACCAGTGACGCCCAGCTCCATCTCCAAGAGCAGATCCACCTTGGCCATGCGCTCGCAGTACTTCTTGCAGATGGCGATGTTATCCTCCAGAGGCTCCTCAGACAGGTCGAGCATGTGGGACGAGAACAGAGGCTCGCCGTTTTTCTCGAAATACTCCTCATTGGCCTCCATGAGCCCATCGAACCAAGGCAACCAAGCCTTCTGGCAGTGGTCAGTGTGGAGGATCACCGGCACACCGTAGAGCTTGGCCACCTGGCGGACGTGGAGGGCGCCAGCCACAGTGCCCGCGATGCAGGCTGCATCGTCGGTGTTGTCTGCAGCCTTGCCGGCGATGAACTGGCCGCCGCCACGAGAGAAGGTGACCATGATGGGCCCGCCAGCCTTCTTGGCGGCCTCCATGCACGCGTTGATGGAGCCTGTGCTCACCACGTTGACTCCCGGAATGGCAAACCCCTTCTCCTTCGCATAGTTCAGCAAGTCTACCAGGGCCTGGCCGGTGACCACACCGGGCTTCACGGATGCGGGCATCTTGGTGAAGGTCTTCTCGGCAACCGCAGTGGCCTGGCGCACCACCTGGCATCGGCGCTGTGTGCGCTTGCCAGCCTGCGCGGCGGCAGCTGCGATGCCAGCCGCGCCCAGAGCCAGGGCGGCCGTCGCGGAGGTGGTGGAGGTCGCGCTGACCGCAGCCTGCTGCCGCAGCTGGCGCACCTCACGCTGCTCCTGCACCTGCGGGGCGGCCGGGGCCACGAAGGCCTGGGCGGCGGCGTATGCGCCCACGCCGGCGAGGGCGACTGCGCAACCCTTGGAAGGCATGGCTTTAGAGTGGGAGCAAGACTGAGGCTTCGTCTGTGCCTGAAAGCTGGGCAAACATACCCTCAAGCAACGCCGCACATCCGATCCAGATGCTCATGCTCAAACCGACCCTGATGAACTGAAATCCAGCTTGTTCACCGTGCATCTGGTCAGTCACTCTACTTGGACAAGCCGGACAAAGCCACACGGCTTTTAAAAGACTCTCAGCGTGATCTGAAGACCATGCAACCGAGAATCTGCTGGAAAACTGGCTGCTGCTGTTCCGCAACCTGTTTGCGTAACTACTCTACTGACTCTACTGCTCGCACAATCTCGCCCCAATCCTCAGAGCACGTCGATGCACTTCAGGTCCTCCATGCACTTCACCAGGCGGTCAGCCATGCTCTCCTCGCCAGACCGGAGGGACATGCGAGGGTCGTAGTACTTCTTGTTGGGCTTCTCCGGGCCCTCCGGGTTTCCGATCTGGGCCTGCAGGTAGTCCTTGTTCTTCTTCTGGTAGGAGTTCATGCCGTCCCAGAAGGCCCACTGCGTGTCCTCGGTGTCATGTTGAGCTGCATGCTGCATGTTGGGGTCCACGCCTGAATCTTAAAAAACATACAGTGATTTGGGGAAGCCCGAAATGCTGGAGAGAACCTCCCCTCGACGCCAAAAGCAGGCTTGTCACAGGCCTATCAGACCTATCATATCTACGCCCAGAGTCCGTGTCGATGTTCATCTTGATGACGCCAGCCTCGATGGCATAGCGGATGTCCTCCAGGGAAGAGCCGGAGCCTCCGTGGAACACGAAAGACACTGGCTTGTCCTCGTCGGTGCCAAGCTTCTCCTTGATGAACTTCTGGGTGTTGTGCAGGATCACTGGCTGCAGGTCCACGTTGCCCGGGGCATACACTCCGTGGACGTTGCCGAACGCCGCCGCCACGGTGAACCTGCCGTTCGGCACGGCTGACAGAGTCTCGTAGACCTGCCACACCTCCTCAGGCTGGGTGTACAGCCTGGAGGAGTCCACGTCACTGTTGTCCACGCCATCCTCCTCGCCACCAGTGACGCCCAGCTCCATCTCCAAGAGCAGATCCACCTTGGCCATGCGCTCGCAGTACTTCTTGCAGATGGCGATGTTATCCTCCAGAGGCTCCTCAGACAGGTCGAGCATGTGGGACGAGAACAGAGGCTCGCCGTTTTTCTCGAAATACTCCTCATTGGCCTCCATGAGCCCATCGAACCAAGGCAACCAAGCCTTCTGGCAGTGGTCAGTGTGGAGGATCACCGGCACACCGTAGAGCTTGGCCACCTGGCGGACGTGGAGGGCGCCAGCCACAGTGCCCGCGATGCAGGCTGCATCGTCGGTGTTGTCTGCAGCCTTGCCGGCGATGAACTGGCCGCCGCCACGAGAGAAGGTGACCATGATGGGCCCGCCAGCCTTCTTGGCGGCCTCCATGCACGCATTGATGGAGCTGCTGCTCACCACGTTGACTCCCGGAATGGCAAACCCCTTCTCCTTCGCATAGTTCAGCAAGTCTACCAGGGCCTGGCCGGTGACCACACCGGGCTTCACGGATGCGGGCATCTTGGTGAAGGTCTTCTCGGCAACCGCAGTGGCCTGGCGGACCACCTGGCATCGGCGCTGTGTGCGCTTGCCAGCCTGCGCGGCGGCAGCTGCGATGCCAGCCGCGCCCAGAGCCAGGGCGGCCGTCGCGGAGGTGGTGGAGGTCGCGCTGACCGCAGCCTGCTGCCGCAGCTGGCGCACCTCACGCTGCTCCTGCACCTGCGGGGCGGCCGGGGCCACGAAGGCCTGGGCGGCGGCGTATGCGCCCACGCCGGCGAGGGCGACTGCGCAACCCTTGGAAGGCATGGCTTTAGAGTGGGAGCAAGACTGAGGCTTCGTCTGTGCCTGAAAGCTGGGCAAACATACCCTCAAGCAACGCCGCACATCCGATCCAGATGCTCATGCTCAAACCGACCCTGATGAACTGAAATCCAGCTTGTTCACCGTGCATCTGGTCAGTCACTCTACTTGGACAAGCCGGACAAAGCCACACGGCTTTTAAAAGACTCTCAGCGTGATCTGAAGACCATGCAACCGAGAATCTGCTGGAAAACTGGCTGCTGCTGTTCCGCAACCTGTTTGCGTAACTACTCTACTGACTCTACTGCTCGCACAATCTCGCCCCAATCCTCAGAGCACGTCGATGCACTTCAGGTCCTCCATGCACTTCACCAGGCGGTCAGCCATGCTCTCCTCGCCAGACCGGAGGGACATGCGAGGGTCGTAGTACTTCTTGTTGGGCTTCTCCGGGCCCTCCGGGTTTCCGATCTGGGCCTGCAGGTAGTCCTTGTTCTTCTTCTGGTAGGAGTTCATGCCGTCCCAGAAGGCCCACTGCGTGTCCTCGGTGTCATGTTGAGCTGCATGCTGCATGTTGGGGTCCACGCCTGAATCTTAAAAAACATACAGTGATTTGGGGAAGCCCGAAATGCTGGAGAGAACCTCCCCTCGACGCCTATCAGACCTATCATATCTACGCCCAGAGTCCGTGTCGATGTTCATCTTGATGACGCCAGCCTCGATGGCATAGCGGATGTCCTCCAGGGAAGAGCCGGAGCCTCCGTGGAACACGAAAGACACTGGCTTGTCCTCGTCGGTGCCAAGCTTCTCCTTGATGAACTTCTGGGTGTTGTGCAGGATCACTGGCTGCAGGTCCACGTTGCCCGGGGCATACACTCCGTGGACGTTGCCGAACGCCGCCGCCACGGTGAACCTGCCGTTCGGCACGGCTGACAGAGTCTCGTAGACCTGCCACACCTCCTCAGGCTGGGTGTACAGCCTGGAGGAGTCCACGTCACTGTTGTCCACGCCATCCTCCTCGCCACCAGTGACGCCCAGCTCCATCTCCAAGAGCAGATCCACCTTGGCCATGCGCTCGCAGTACTTCTTGCAGATGGCGATGTTATCCTCCAGAGGCTCCTCGGACAGGTCGAGCATGTGGGACGAGAACAGAGGCTCGCCGTTTTTCTCGAAATACTCCTCATTGGCCTCCATGAGCCCATCGAACCAAGGCAACCAAGCCTTCTGGCAGTGGTCAGTGTGGAGGATCACCGGCACACCGTAGAGCTTGGCCACCTGGCGGACGTGGAGGGCGCCAGCCACAGTGCCCGCGATGCAGGCTGCATCGTCGGTGTTGTCTGCAGCCTTGCCGGCGATGAACTGGCCGCCGCCACGAGAGAAGGTGACCATGATGGGCCCGCCAGCCTTCTTGGCGGCCTCCATGCACGCGTTGATGGAGCCTGTGCTCACCACGTTGACTCCCGGAATGGCAAACCCCTTCTCCTTCGCATAGTTCAGCAAGTCTACCAGGGCCTGGCCGGTGACCACACCGGGCTTCACGGATGCGGGCATCTTGGTGAAGGTCTTCTCGGCAACCGCAGTGGCCTGGCGCACCACCTGGCATCGGCGCTGTGTGCGCTTGCCAGCCTGCGCGGCGGCAGCTGCGATGCCAGCCGCGCCCAGAGCCAGGGCGGCCGTCGCGGAGGTGGTGGAGGTCGCGCTGACCGCAGCCTGCTGCCGCAGCTGGCGCACCTCACGCTGCTCCTGCACCTGCGGGGCGGCCGGGGCCACGAAGGCCTGGGCGGCGGCGTATGCGCCCACGCCGGCGAGGGCGACTGCGCAACCCTTGGAAGGCATGGCTTTGGAGTGGGAGGACTGGCCGCGTTCTACAGTCTACACCGAGCCGATTCTTGCAAGTAGCGCCCTCCTGTCCGCCAGGAAACCAACCAACATCACAAGTGCTTGCGCAAGTTAGGTGAGGGCTTTCAGTTAGTCACAAAGAGCCGTTTCCACGTACAAAGGGTCGCTCCGGGCATTCTAGACTTCCGAGCACCACTGGCGGCCATTGTAGTTGGTGACACGACGAAGGGAGGCACCCTTGTCTATCGGGTGAAACGGGCTCAACGATCCTGCAGTCGCGTACTGGAGATGCAGCACATCAGTACACTGAGAACAAAAAAACAGGGCAAAGCTGCAAGTATAGTTGTGGGTGAGAAGTCCTCATCCGCCAAGAGCAAACCCACCGGCCTCCAGAAAAATGGGCAGCGCGCGCAGTGCTCCGCATTGCTCAGTATCAATATGGGGCAGTGCCGTAAGTCTGGGCCTGGTCCAGGATGCTCGGCGACATCCAAACGACAATTCCAATCCCAATGAAGAGCAGAGAGCCGCAGCAGGGAAGGCCAATGGCAACCTCGCACAACTCGTCATCAGTGCATGTGCCAAAGCGAAGAGCGCACCCTAACAGACAGACAGCTTCGCACTGATGAGACCGCTTGGTGGATCTTGGTGGCGCACGCTGGCATTTCTTTCCCAGGCTCGCACTTCGCACTCGTCGTAAGGCTTGACCTCATCTGGGCCAACGGCATGCTGCGCTTACAGTGCTGTGCTTGTGCTTCAAGATAATCAGGTCAACTGTGAGGCTTCTGCCCTGTAGTGCCTCTTGTGCCATGCACATGTGGAGTGTACCTGACATGAGAACCCATGATAATCTCGATTCATTTCGAGTGATGACAGCACTGCTAGCATGGCTCGGCGCACGCCGAAAGCGAGGAGCAACAGACCCAGCACGATGCACACCACTGCTGTAATTGTTGGTACCAGCCTGACACAGTGTGCAACTAAACCTTGGACACTTTTTTCTCTGGCGCAAGATCTCGAGGCGATGCGCAAAGGCTGGATGAGGCTGGCACGTGTCACAAGTTAGGCTGCTCTGACACCTGCTTCGAACTGAAGGGCTCTTCAGAGCTCTTCAGAGCTCTTCAGGGCGCTGACTGAAAGGCTGACATGCACTTGAGGGCAAGGCTCACAGATGTTGCCGTCGCACGAGGAGCAGTATTTGCAATCACCTTTCTGGCAAGATTGAACCGAGTAGAAAGCACGATGCACGAGCAGAGCGCACGCTTCTGAGTGCACTTTTGGCCTTTTGGCCTCGAGGCGTGTAGGCTCTGTTTGCTTTAATGCACCTGAGAACGGAAGCAATAAGGGCTCACAGTTCGCCATGGTTGCTTGGCTTACAGCTTCCAAGAGAGTCATAATTCATCATAATTCTGTGCCTCTTTGAATGTCTCGCCTGAGGCCCAGGCTCAATCACTGCTTCGCCTGGCATCTCTTCGAGGGCGTAGATGTACTCGTCCTCGCCACCAGTCCCAGTAATCCTCGCACAGAAATGCGAAAAGAGGCTGATACCTCGCAGGAAAGTGGCGGCTTTGAAGAGAAGGTGGTGAGGCCTGCAGCGGTACCGATCGCACTGGCAGGCTGCAGCCAGGGACACGGGGATCAAGGCCAGTAGGCGCTTCATGGCGCAGGCTCTGCAACGGCTCTGCAAGACTCTGCAAGACTCTGCGGTCACTGCGCTCACTGCGTTCGCTGCGTTCCGGTTTGTAGTGGGGAGGGCCTTTGCAGAGTTTGAACTCTGGGGTGCCTGGGTGCCTGGGTGCCTGGGTGTCTTGCATCTTCGCACACTTGAGCCAGCGGGCCACGGTCTACAGACCTGAGGCTCCCATTGTCATGCTCTGATTGTGATTGAACATGAACAGCAAGGCTGTTGGCATTGTCAGGTGGATGGCTGGTCGATTTCAAGCCCGGGAAGTAGCGCAGTGAGTGCTGCGTGCTGGGTCCAACGCTAGCCGATGCTCAGAACTCGTGGCTGAGCTTGGAGAAGGCAAAGACAGACCCAACCTGAGGGTGCTGCAAGTGAACTCTGCTCCTAGCATCACAAAAGCTGAAATCTCTTTTCAGCGCCCGAGGCCGCATCGACGCACAGAATGTTGAAGGCAAAGAAGGTGGAGATCGCGATGAGCGCATACCTCAGACATTCGACTGACATATAGGAGTATGTCAGCGAAACGGCAGCAGACAAGGCACTTGAAGCCGTCGCTGCGGTACTTCAGGACCTCTGCAACCGGATCCTGGAAAGAATTTAAGCAGTTTGCTTGGGAGATTCCTTAACACACAGGAGTTGGCCAATTCTGCCGCTAGAGTGCCATTGCTCAGGGGAACACTCAACCGAACACATATGACATGAAGATTTGCCAGAAACCTTACTTTACTTTGCTTATCCACCGCAGTGAGTCCACGTGTTTCCCCTTCTCGGATCTTCTCGGTGTTCGTCCTGCATCCAATAGAAGAAAAGCGGGTGGTTGGACTTGATGTTGTACGCCGCCTCGTCGGGTCCACAGAAGCCGCGTAGCCCAACCCGTATCGACAGAAAAGACAGGAAACCTCTGCAAAGGTCGGCCTCGGCCTGCTGCACAGCCAGGCGGAAGAAGGGTCGCTGGTCTTCGCCTCAAGAACAAACAAAGCTCACGCCTCTCAAAGGGATTCTGAAAAGAGCCTCGAGGCGCGCGCTGGGGCGCTGGGGGCCGGGCGCATCAGTCGCAAGCCGGAGCGAGCTTTGGGGTTGTCAAACCTGGGCGACAAGAAGCCATCGCCCGACATGCGCCGATCCTTCTTTACGGGTCTGTCATAGAGTCATAGAGTTCCCATCTTGCAGCTGGGCCCTGACAAACCCCGAAGCCCCATCCGAGGCCCAGCTCGCCGCAACGGAAGTCGGCAGTGGTGCCGCTGCAGCAGTTCACGCCGACCTGCAAGCTGCTGAGAGAGCTCTTGAGGTGGCAAAACGGCCAAACCCTCAGCAGTACAAAGCTGGGCATGTTGCAGCCCAGAAATCATAGGAGGCCAGGGGCTCCTCGGGAGGACGAGCCGTGACTCCGGAAGCAATCCGCGGACCCCTACAATTTACACGCATCAGGCTTTCGGATGCTTTCAGCTCCTGTCCAAAGACGATGGGCGCAACGCAGTACCTGTCAAGGCTTTGGAACTCGAGTGACAAGCACTTGGGGTCCTGCATGGGCCAACAGATTGAACCATATGCCTCTCCCATATGCCTCTCCATATGCTTCTGACTCCCCTGGGCTGCTGAAGGGGAGCGCAGTGCCTGTCGAGGTTCCGGAAAGCCATGGCCTTGGAGGTGTCCAACCTCAGTCTTGTACGCATGATCAGACTCATTTCAGACTCATTTCAGACACCGAACTCCAAGCTGGACACAAAATCTGAGCGACAACTTAAGGAGCTCGCCCAGTGCCATCTTCGAAATACACGCGCCCAGCGTCCATCAACTGCTGGCCCTTCTCCCGTGCGGGATTCACCTTCTCCAAATCTGCACATGGATTCGCTTTGTTCGTAGAAAGCGGTCTCAGCGCGATGCTTCACCAGCTGATCTGAGTGATGTGCAGAGGGGTAGGTGTTGATGTTCTCGATGTCATAGTACGGCTGCATGTTGTACCAATAGTTCATGTCTCCCAGGACCTCGGAGAATGCCATGCTGCACTACACCTTCTCAGGATTACTCATACCATGAAGCTCACATGCCCACCGCAGCACGAACCCCGTTCTAGAGACCTTCATCTCTGCGGAGCTGTCCGACTGATCAGCTACATGGCGGCACCGAGGCCGAGGGGGTCATGATACTCGGCAAGGTCCAGTCGAGAAGGGACCAACGAATTAAAAAGGGCGAGAGCATCATGAGTCATGAGCATCAACAAATCCGGCCTGCCCCAGTCTCCAGCCGTCCCTGCTCTTCCACATTGCCCAAGCCTAAAGTTCCTACAGTTCCTACACTTCCTAAAGCTTGCATGCGGGGATGCCGGATTCCGATAACCCTGCTGCCTAAGTTGCCTGCATGTGGCGTTTCCCCTCTGCACACCCCAGGCCCTCGCTGCCGCGGAGATGGTGGCCACGCCCAGCGCAAGTGCTGCGAAGGTGTACCTGGCTGCCAAGAAGTCAAACGTCTGCTGACTTCCAGCGAGCTCCTGCCCTCGAAAGTGATGGTCAAGGTGGAGGAGAAGGGGAGGACTGGAGTCGATGTGGCAAGCTGGCATGCATGGCAACCTCCGAAAATTCTGATATCGCCACCTTACAGCCCACCCTCAGGATAGCTGACACTTGTGGAACCTGCGTCAACCTTAACACCTGTCATGTCACAATCACGACCGCAGGGACCCATGTTCAAACAACAGCACAACAACATTGCTCCAATTGCATGTACAAGCCGTAGCTAAATACCGGGAACCACACCCGAATCACGCGTCTGAGCATAATCACGTAGAGGCATACAGCTGGACCACAGCATGACGTGAACCGCTCTGCGCACCAAGTAGGATCCTGGTCCTGCATCTTGGTCCTGCGTGCGAGGATGCCTGAGATGGACTTCATGAGCGAGCGAGCCCTTTGCTGCTGGACTTTGCTGGTGACTCTCATCGACATCTGCATCGGGCCTGCTCCTCCGGCAAGCACCAGGCCTGCCAGAGGGAGGGGAGGGAGGAGGGAGGGGAGGGGGAGGGAGGGGGGGGGAGGGGGAGGGGAGGGGAGGGAGGGGGAGGGAGGGGAGGGACGGAGCCCGCATCTCCAAAAGGGCGGAAGGGCGGCAGAAGCATAAGGGGAGAAGCAGGGAAATAGGGAAGCGTGAGTCCTTGCCTGCAACGACGGCAAGCCAGGCCAGGACCGGGCTGGAGTGATGGGTCTTGAAGGACATCGCGGCCTCGGAGTGGGAAGAAAATTGAGCAACGAAGAGTACTCGTACCCGAGCAACATTCCTTTTGTTGTAGAACTTGCCTTTCAGAGAGGGAATCTCTCTGAGGCAGCAGCGAAGACGCCGCAGAAGACCAGCCACGGGGCCAGGACGTTGAGCAGGATCGATACCTTAGCTCAAGTGAAGCGAGCCCACCTGCAACTTCCATATAAGAGCCAAGGGCCCCGCTTCCACGTGGGTCAATCTAAGGCCCGGTCAACATTCAAGCGCTTGCGCTTTCCAAAGCTGAAGCTGCTCTCGGGATCCGCCATCCGAGGGGACATGCCAGCCTCCAGTCTGCAAGTCACTGTTCCTTCCCTGTCCCCCCCTTTCCCCTTCACAACCCATGACAGCCCTCTCGTGGCGAAGCTAAGGTCTGCTCGGACTGGCTCTGCCTTGCGTAAGCGCCTACAAAGGGCGTGCGCTCAGCTTGGACATTTCACATGCTCAGCACGCTCAAAACCGCAACGTGTTGCGATGAGTTGCAGCGGGCGTGCGCAAGGTCGCCGGCCTTGGAAGGTGCTGTAGGGCTTGGACATGGCTCTCGCTGCCACCAGATCAAACTTCGTTGTAGAACTGAGAAAAGCCCAGAAGGCTCCGGAAACAGTGTCAAAATTGTTCAGTGAAAGGCAAAGACATGTGCGCGTCAGCATGCAGATGCATGTTGACATCCCGGGGGAGCTTCTCTTTCGTCCTAGATAGTGCAACGCTGCTCTCTGAAGCGTAAGAGGCCTCTTCGGCTCTCAGAAAGGCCGGAAGGCCTCGTCAAAGCTGCGCTTCTGGGTCGGCTTGCTGTCAGCAAACTTCACGGTGAAGCGGCAGCTTTGGAGCGCCTCCACAGCCAGCTCTGCATCCTCGAGCTGGGCGAAGCGCACGAAGCCGCAGGGCGATGCCCCCTGCTTTCGCAGGATCTTGACATCGGCAACTTGGCCAAAGGGCGCCATCATCCCCCAGACGAACTCCATGGTCACTGCTTCTGGCAAGCCACCCACAAAGACCTTCTCCCCCTGGCCGCCCCCCATGGACGTGGGCACTGGATCGTCACCACCCTTGGCCTTACCCATCGGCGCTGCCTGACCTGCGAAAGTCATGGACTGGTGGGTCGGCTGGAAGGTTTGCTGCTGGAAGCTGTTCTGCTGGTATTGGGAATAGGGCTGGAGGGGAGCCGCCGCGCGCATGGTTGGCGGTGGTACGGCTCGCATCGGCATCGGGGCGGGGGCAAAGGCCTGCATCTGCGGCACTGGCGGCTGAGGTGTCGACCGCGACTTTGCCAGGTCGGCCATCTTCACGACCAGAGTCTTACCCTCGGCTGCCAAGTCCCCCTTGCCACTCATTGCATTGATGCAAACCTCTGCCTCCGTGAAGGACGAGAAAGTCACGAAGGCACAAGGCATCGCCTTGTCATTCTTCGTGAAGATCTTGCTGTGAGTGATGGTGCCGAACTGCTGGCATACTCTTCGGACGTCCTCGTCCGTGACGATTGGCGCAAGGCCCCCGATGAAAACTTTGGGCTCTTGCTGAGAACCTTTCGGAGCCCCCTTGACATCAGCCAACTTAACATTTATGCCTTCTGGATTGCCATCCGCTCGCATCGGCGTCTTGTCTAGCTCTGCGATGGCCCTCTCTGCAGCCGCCCACGTGTCAAAAGTGGCAAAGGCGCAGTTCTTCCCCTCTAGCAGCTTAATTGAGTGTGCCCCATAGGGCCCAAACATTTCTTCAAGCTCGCGCTGCTCACAATTTACCGGAAGCCGGCCGATGAAAACTTGCGGCTGCATCTGCGGCGTCTCTTGCCGTGCAGCGAAAGGCGAGCTTACTTGGGACCCGCCCGCAATGCCCTGAATGTTGTGGGCTGCACCCAGGCTTGAATGGCTTGGGGCCAGGCCTTGCATCCCAAGTCCGATTGGCCTCGCTGGCTCGGGCATGGGGCTTCGTGGCACCTTGGCGGTCGCTGGCCTGCAAGCGGCGCAGTATGCAGCATGGGCAATGATGGGTAGCATGACGGACAAGGGCGGCGCGCTCTCAGGCCGTGACTTGACGTTCAAACCCGTGCCTTGCTGGCCTGAGAACAGCTCTGCGCCGAAAACTCAAATTCCGGAGAGCCACGGAAGTGCTGGAAGTGCACACAACACAACAGAAGCTTCAGCTCACACCCATCTGGTAGCCATTCAGCTCGGCAATGGCGCGCTCGGCATAGGCCAGATTGTCGAAATCTGCGAACCTGGCCACGAAGGAGCAGGAACGGTAGTTCGACGATAAATCAGCAGCAGAAGCAAGAAGCATGCCAGTGTGACGCACAGCCCTTTCCATCCAGAACACGAATGTTCGTGGCTCCGTACGGGGCCTCGCTTCAAGATTCATTCGACAGCACAGACACTGACTATTACTCGGGCTACCTGCTCTCCAGTCTTTCAGATTTCACCTAAAAAGTTTCAACACACCTGCCGCTAAACAGTGTGGGGCAAACAAGGAGAGGCAGCGCAGGTGATGAGGCCGAAGCAAAAAGGTCGGAGATTTCTGGAACACCTAGCGCACACAGCTGGCCCGCAAAGTTGCCAAAAAAACATCGGCGTTGCGATGCGTTTTGGCAGCTTTAGAAACTTTAGTAAGTCCAAATTGTGTTCGCGCATCCGTGCCTACTCCAGGTGGGACGCGGCCAATGAAGACCTCCATGCCCTGTGGCGTTCAAAGCAGAGCAGGTGAATCGCATCCCGGCACTGGAGTGCAAGAATCTTGCAGAGAGCAGTGTACATCAGTGTACTGTGCCTCACAGAGAGCAACCAGGGCTGGAGGCTAGATCGCTGCAGTCATTAAATATAAGAAACGCGAAGCTACCGCGAAGCTTGCATGCTCAGGGACATGGATTGGGTCACGGCCATGGGCATCCTAAGGGACTGCTCGTGTGCTTGTCTGGCAGCACGTTTGTGCGGACATGAGCAACGAAGAGTGGATTTGTGGCTAAGGGAATGTGGCTTTCCTTGGCAACCCTCCCATGACTCATGACCCCATAAGCTTGAGCCATTGGCGGGACAGCTCGAGCGTGTCTGACTCATAAAAGCCTTCCTCCAGAGCGGCGGCTTCACTTGCACAGCGCTGTCAGCAGGTTCTTCTGAGCATTAGCTGGATAGGACATTATCGGACTGTCGATTATCGGACAACGCGCTTGCCTGCTTAGCAGGCCAGCGAATCTGTTGTAGTGAGTGCGTGCGTGCGTGTGTCCTAATTGGGTGCCGCCACTGCCTGGCAAGTGGCTGTATCCGATACTGTACCGAGGACACACAACAACAAACACAGCAAGCAAACCGACTCATCACGGTACATTTGCTCTGCAGGCTGATGCGGATAGATCCCCGACGGATCCCGACAGAATGTGCCTAGATTGACATTGATTGCAAATCATGACGTCTGGCCACTTGCAGCTTGTGCGATCCGGACCGTCTCAGCCTCTGCCTAGGAACACGGTAAGCTACACGCAGCGAGGGTTTGCCTCGCAAGCTCGACATGATATGGTACCATGACTGAGAACCTCAGATGTCCCAGCAAAGGCTCAGCGGGGCGGTCTCCAAAAACCATCAGAGCAGGAGTGCAGCGCGTCGCTCGCAGCAGAATACCATTCACTGATGCTGCGCAGCCTGCTGTGCCACCTGCCACCTGCTGAAACCGCGATTGCTTGCCATGCTCCATACAACCCGGCCCGAAACGCTCACAGGCCCCAATGGGCTTAAAAGGATGTAAAAGGCATAACTGCGGCATAACCAAAACTCTGTCCGAGAGGAGGCGAGATGAGGCGGGCGTCTTGAATGGGCTGTGCGGCAACTGTTGTCAAACTATTTAAGCAACGGAAAATATGAAAACGTGTAGATCAATATGCCACAGCCACCACAGCCGCCAAGATTCTCGGACTCAAAGCCTCCAACAACCCAAGTCCGTACACCCTCCGCCTCGGAGCCTTTCCTTCGGCGCCCAGTTCCGGGCGGCGGTCTCTCGATGCGTCTTGGGTGCCAGGTTCGTTTCAGGGACCCTGTCGTGACACCAATGGTCAAGAGAAGACCGACGCGCGGTGTCCCCGCAATATGGGACTGTCCTTGCGTTTCGAGTGCCTTGAGGGTTTTGCTTTTATCCTGGCCGTTCTCCGGAAGCTAGAAGCCCTGTGGGGGCAGCCACTCGGCCTGATGTCCTAGTGCAGAAATGGGAACTTAACTTTCAACAAGCTTTAAGCCTCAGGACAGGAAACTAGAAACTTTGGCTTCGAGTATCCGCCTGAGGGGCCTACTCTATTGTCGTGCACAGAGATGATGTAGGTCACGAAAAGCGGTGCTTTGTTTTCTGAAGAAACGGCATGCCCCATATCTTCCTGTTCATTATCATCCTCCGCATCCTCTTCCTGGTCATCATCATCACCATCATCGTCGTCGTCGTCATGGTCGTCATCATCGTCGTCATCGGCATCATCGTTATCATCCTCATCACCACCATCATCAGCATCGCAAGTTCTATCAACATGTACTTAAGACAACATCATCGGGGTGACGCCGAGATTCCCTGTGCGGCACGAGCCGAAAAGTGACGACAGTTACGAGGATGGCGGCCCCGATCCCAGCGATCCTTGTGACTCTTGACAACACATGACGATGCGAGGGTCCAAGAACCCTGATAGTTTCGAGGGCGGCGACCCAGACAACGCGATGCCGCCACCTTCGAGCATCACAACCATCAGGGGCGTAGGAGTACTAGGGTCCAAAACGACGACAGCTTCCAGAATTGTGACCCCAAAGCACTGCACACACGTGGCCTGGCGTTTCTTCTAGTGTCTTTTCTGCCTCCAAACTCCTTTCCGCGAGCGGGAATCTGATCTCGTTTCAGGTGGTGGTGGGCCTTTTTTGTCTTGTCCTCATCCTTTCACAGTGGTATGCAAAATCACATGAGCATGAGTGGCAGGTGGCAACCTCTCGGCCCTCGCCGCATTCACCGTTTGCGTACTTAAAACTCTGCAAGGACCTGCTTGAGAGATCTGCAGATCTGTGCCCGCCTTTGTCCGCCTTCTGGCGTGCTGTCAGATTTTCTTCGGGAGAAACTCAGGCCGAGCTCCGCGCCAGCGGTGATGTTAAACAGAACTGATTACACTACATTCTATAGCCACCTTTTGTGCAACGGCAACATACAAACATACAGCAACATGCGGCAACATGCGGCAACACGCGGCAACATGCGGCAACATGCGGCAACATGCGGCAACTCACGGGAACTCCGGCCTGCCGTGCTCAGTGAGGTTGCCTGCGCTCAAGGAATCACATGGCTGGAGCCAGCTGAGCAAGTTCAGGCTCTTCTTGTTAACCCTCAGAACACCGACTAGCGGCTGACTAGCGGAGACTTTCCCAGGCTGAGGCTCACATGTCAGGCCTCGCCCCGAAGAGCCCAGAGGGAGGCGGCCTCCTCCTTTTTGGCCACAGATGGCCACAGCGTGCTGGCTTCTCCGGCGCTACTTTAGGGAAGGGGGGGGGGGGCGGGGCGTGGGCGATCATCCTGTTTGAAACAGCGCAACCCCTGAAGGAGAGGCTCATGGCCCACCTCCACAGCATCGGTTCGTGCACGCGTGGCGTCCAAGGCAAGGCGACAACGGTCCCGGTCCTTATTCGAGTGTCCGAGAGGCAGCAAACCATGGCAAACCCTTCTGAGCGGCCGCAACGATTGAAAATAGAAACCCACGGAGTCCAGCACCCCTTCCCAGCGCCTACTCGCCAACAGTACCAGCCATTTGGGCACAGGATCTGGTCTGCCCCACCCGGTGGGACCTGCCCAAATCGGGGCCCAAAGCCCAGGGCTCAAGGCTTCCACGCTGTGACCACCTCTCACAAAGACCACGCCACATGAAACTCTGCCTTGGCACCCTGGCAGCCCCCGCTCTGGCCTTGCTGACCCCGCCCCCCCTCGAGGACCATTGCGCACGCCACACTGTCACACGCCGCGTTGGGCCAGCCCGGCGCTGCACGCGCATGCGTTTACAATGATCATCAGTTCTGCCAGGGCTCCGTTGTCAGCTCCTTGGTGGAAGCCTGAACTTCCTGCACAGGTGGAATCCGAGATGTGGGGGCTGCTGACGCCGAGAGAGCATAAGCACACTACCTCGGCGACCTACAGTAGCTGCACACTGACAATACCCTGGAGCCCCCATTGTTTGCAAATGATCGTAACTTCTTCCCAATCCCGAAGCCACCCTGCCCGAAGCGCTCAAGCTCTCTGAAGTGGTCCTCGATGGCTGACAGCGTTGCAACCCAAGCGGCCTGGTGCAAACGCTCCGACATATGAATGCTGCTGCTGTGAACCTGCCCCTCCGATGAACGGTGGTTGCATCTGCCTCAAAGAGGACTTGAGAGCTCCATTGGAGATGTATCTTCACATATATTCACACAAGCAAAAAGCTCAAGATCACAGCAAACCTATGGTTTGTGGATGAACCCCTCAAGACGATGATAACACTACGTTTCCACAGGGTGTTGTTGTTCAGTGATCGCCCTGTAATACTCTTGGGGCAACAGTGCCCAAAATCAGGCTACTGGTAGTGGCAATCCACTCAAACAGATAAGGGTGAAGCGGGTAAAGGTTTTGTTGTAGGGAGCCTGTTGCACGGGGGACCCAGCCTGCAACTCCGCCTCAAGGAGGTCGGCACTTCCCAGAGCCTGCGCCTGTGAGAACTCGTCTTCGCTGAACATCTAAACTTTGGGAGGCAGGGGGAGTCAAGGGCCAAGCACTCCTCGGGATTCAGGCTCGAAGCTATTCCAGGGCGCAGCGCCTGCGCAGCAGAGATTGCCGAGTGGGACTGCTTCAGCTCGTAGATTTCCTTGCAAAGCTCTGTGCCAAACTTGCGCCAGACCAATGTTCCTTTCGAGAGGTTCAAAGGAGTTCACAGAATGCTCCTCCATCTGCTGGAAGATCTCAGGGTGGCCTGCAGCACCTCGCTTCTGCGTGTTTTTCAGGCCGCACAGGCGACAGCAGCCCTTCTGCATCCCGAATGCCAAGCATCACACGCCCACGCAAGTCTTGGAACTGAGCGCGCAGAGACTGGATCATCCTCAGGTTGCCAAAGGAGCAAATGACAGCAACGGTAACCCGGTAGCCTCAAGACCTGCTTGCGGCTTGGTGGCTCTTTGCAAATCTTATGGCACAGCTGCTGGAAGTCCTGACCTCAGGGCACGATTGTCAGCTTGCTGAGACGTTGAGACACGGTTGGCGAGAGCATGCCTGCGCAACCCGAAAAAAATCCTATGAAAACCCTGGAGTCTGCGACTGTCTGCGACTGTCTGTGAGGCCATGGCTCCGCCAGGTCGACGCAGCCTGTGTAATTCTTGGAGAGCACCAGCCAGTTGTACTAGCTCTCCTACAAGTAGCAGTACTGTATACTTCGTATACTTTATATGCTGTAGATGCAGTGGCTCTACTGAGTCTAGTGAATCTGAAGCGATTGAAGCCCTGCTATTGGCACTCTCCAGCTCCAGCCTCGACCGCTCTTTTGGCGGCCTCCTCTTTGGCGGCGCCAGCAGCTTGGGAAGCTTTTTGGGCTTCCAGCTCTGCGTCTTCGCGTCGGGCCACCAGCAGAGCCAACTGCAGCTCACCTCAGATCTCAGATCTGAGTTCAGCTGAGGTGGGGGGGGGGGAGGGGGGGGCAATGAGGGTCACGTTGGAGCCAAGGCGCCGTGCCGAAGTTCCTCCTCCTCTTCCTCCTCCTGAGCCTCCTCCAGGAGCAGCTCTTTCTGGAGCAGCTCCGCACTGCTGTGGCTGAGGTGGCTGATGTGGCTGATGTGGCTGACATCTGCATTCTCCGAAACATCCAGATGCTCCGCGCTCTCCGTGAGCCCCTCTTGAAAAGCCCGCTGGGCGGCGTGCGCCGCCGCCCGTCTCTCGACCTCCAGAACGCCTCGCACAAGCCAGGCCGCAGCATCTTTGGCCGCGTGCCAGCTGTCAACCTCTGAGTTCGTGTCGTTTGCTGGGGCCCCCGAGGCCCCCGAGGCCGGGTTGGCCCGGCTGCGGAAGAAAGACAGCACTGTCTCTAAGATTTCGTTGGCTTTCAGTAGGGAAGCCTCTAATGCTGGCTCCTGGTTGAAGTCGCTGGCTTGGATGGCTTGCGTGGCCTGCTGTAGGGCCTGTTTCAGCCCGTGCAACGCCTGCTGCCAGCAGCGAAGATCAAAGGTCGCTTTTTCCAGAGAAAGAGCTTCCAAAGGCGCAACATGCCTGGAAGAGGCCGAGGCCCAGGACAGCCAGTGGAGATGCAGCCATTGAAGGTGCCCCTCCAGCTCTCGTTTCAGCTCATCCTTGCCGCATGCGTTTCCATCTTGCGGCTGCGGGTGCGGTTGGTGCGGTTGGTGTGGGTGGTGCTGGTGCTGGTGCGGGTGCGGTGGTAAGTGGTCTGGGTTCGGGTGATGCGGACGGAGTCGGAGCCGAAACCTGCTGCGGGTCCGGGCGTTCCAGGACCGCAGGACCTGGACGTGGCTCCGCAAGATGCGGCGCTGCTCCTCGCGCTGGCCGCGCTGCACCTCTTCCCATGCCTCCTGGGCCTCGGCTTGCGCCCCAACTTTTGCCTGGCGCTCCTTTTCCAGCTGCTGCTTCAGGTCCTCCAACTTGGAGAGCGCGGCGGCGAGGGAACCTTGGAGGCCCTCTGAACGTGCTTCGACTCCTTGGGTGGACGCTTCCAGCAGACGCAGTTCTGCCTGCTCCGCCCGCAAGGACTCGTGAAGCAGGTGCCGCTCCAACTTCTCCCGCCAAACGTCCACGAGCTCCATGTCCCCCCGCGCGTTCTGGGCTGATTGGCCTGCCTAAGATCCAACTGCTGAGCAGCTAACGGGAGAAAACAGTAATACACCTATAGATATATATATATATATATATATGTATATCCGAAAAACAGCAGCCGCTCAGGCTGAAGCGGCGAGCTCCAGATTAGCGCCAGCTGCAGCCTTTCCAGATTCTGGTCAGATGCTGTGGTCGAGGATCCACAGGCAGACGATGCATCTCATAAATGTCCCGCAGACGGAGCCTCCTGCAGGGCCTTCTCTCGCTGGGTCGCAAGCACCTCCTGCTTCCTGGCGCTGAGCAGACGGTCAGCCATGTTTCCACTAGCATGGGCACTTTGTCAGCACAGGTCCTCTGCAGCTCGGCCGCAATAGCAGCCGTCTTGGCCTGCAAAATTGGAGAGTCTCCAGATTTCATTTAGTAAAAGGCGTGTGGAAGAGATGCGTGGAATGGAGCCTCAGCTTCGTCAGCGGCCTGACCTCAAAGGCAGGAAAGGGCACAGTGCACCATGCGTGTACCACACATGTCTACTGTTTTTTTTGGGGAGTGCACACCCTCCCTTTGTTAGGAAAGAACAGGGTTTTTAAAGCCCCTCCCTGAACATCCTGGAAACAGCCCAAAGCGGCGCCCCTCCCCCCCCCCCCCAAACTTCTTTTCCACTACCAGACAGGCGGAAGAAACCGGAACTCACATGCTCTCCCTTCCTGTGCCTTCCACCAACTTTCACCTAGAGAATTTAAGTTTTATGCCCTGGATCCATGACATCTAAGTCCTTGTTCGAAAGTTGGGACAATGGCGCGGCCGGCAGGGTTGGTCTAGCTGGCAACACATCCAATGCTTGTCAACATGATCCACAATGCAAGACGCGAAGCCTTTTAACTTAAGCTCATGTACTGCAGTTGCCATGCAAACGACATCTCGTCCCCTCTGGGGTGGATGACGAGGAAAAGAGGCAAGAAAACTTTGAAGAAAACCGGTGGTATGTGTACAGACATTCGCGTATCGCCTCCGCATGTCTCCGCATTCCATCATGCACACACGGCAGGCATGGGCCTCTCATCCTCCTCGCCACTGGCGTACTTGGCAAAGCGAGGCCGCTCCCGATCGTGGGCCAAGGCATCTGACTTCCTTGGATTCGCAGCCAGGGGTCCATCGGGAGTTTCGGCTCCAGCTGTTTTTTGGACAAAACCAAGGTTAACAAACTCCAAGTTTCCAAGGCCAGCCACCAAACCCTGTTGCCTGGTAGTCGCGGAAGGCCTTGGATATGTCCTCACCAGGGCATAAAGGCATACGAGTTTGCCGATGCAACTTACGTCCATCATCTCCTAAAGTACCGTTTCCGAACATTCAAGTTTAGGTTAATAGCCCGTTGTCGCTTGGCAGACTTGGCATCACAAAAGCCCTACGTAGCACTTCAATGTATGATCACATGTCCCGTCCTCACGGCTGTTTCCGACAAAGGGCCCATGCTGAACCACAGGCTCACCAATGTCGCGGCCCTGCAGCACGAGGACCTCAATAGGCCCGTCCTCCGTGGCGGCAATCTCGGTATCCACCTCTGGGTGCAGCTTCAGGCGCTTCTGGCCATGGATGACCTGCCCTCCGATCTTGCTCTTCTTTCCTGTATGGATGTAGATATTCCTGTTCAGCCCTGACACACTGGCCCCTGCGTGGGCTGGGAGTGTCCAGGAGCCTTTTGCTGGGATCTTCAAGGTCAGGACCATGACATCCGCGGCAGGATCCGAGGCATAAGAGTTGGGTGGTGGGGCTGGTGGGGAGCCAAACCCTGGCAAGGCACCAGCAATCAGAGCGATTTCAGTGCCGTCCGCCTGGTGGACAGTTGCTAGGTCCTCCGTCGGGCTTCGCTTGGGGACCGTCGCGGACTATGGGGACTATATGCGCCCGCGTTGCGCGTAATCGACCCCCCCCCCCCCCCCCCCCACGGCATCCCCCCCCAAACCCTGCCTGTCAACCCTAAAAGCACCACGGACCACGGGGGAGGACAGAGAAACCTCAGCCTAAACCCCACACCCTGAACCCTAAGCCCTAAAACCTAAACCCACCAATGAACGACAGGAGGGAGAAGGGTAAACCGGAAACCTTAGCCGCTTTAACCCTGAACCCTGAAGCGTAAACTCAGCACGAACCAGAGGGGGGAGAGGGGAAACCGTAAACCTACCATTACCCCAAACCTTGAACCCTGATTAAACTCTAAACCCACAATGAACCAATGGACCAGAGTGAAAACCTGAACTCTACAGCCTAACCCTAAACCCCTAAACCACAAACCCAATGAACCACGGGGACCCCAAAACCCACCATGGAGAGGAGGGGGGGGGGGGGAGAGGGGGGGGGAGGGGGGGGGGGGGGGGGGGGGGGGGGGGGGGGGGGGGGGTGGGTGGCTTAAATAGGGTCTATTTGGAAGCTGTGACTCGGGTTTTCTTATAGCCATACACGTTTCCACGAGGGTACGCTGCTGTCACGTCAGTCGTACTATGGTGGCCTCAGGAACAAGAACCAGGTAGTTCCTCTTTTCTCTTTTCTTTTTCTCCTCAACCCTAAAGTCGAAGGCTCTCGTGAACAGGAGAAGAGAAGGGAGAGAAGGAGGGAGAGATAAGAGGAACACAATTTTCATGGGAAGAGCCAAGAAAAGAATAGAAGAGAGATGAATAAAGGAGAGGGAGAGACAAAACAAGGCGCAAAGAAGATGGTACTCTGCTTTATCTATCCTGTCTCCCTTATCTCTCCGTTCCTTCTGTCTTTTCGAAATGAGAACAACAAAAAGAAAGAAGGGAAGTGAGAGAGGAGAGACAACAAGGAGGCCATTTTAATTTCCTGTGAGTTATCAAAAGGAATGCAATATTATGGGAAGAGCAATGGAAAAAAGAGTGGAAGAGAAATGAAGACAGGAGGGGGAGGTGCAAAAATAAGGCAAAGAGAAGATGGTGCCGTTTTCATCTCACCTCTCGTTCTTATCTTTCTCTTCTCTGGTTCTTTTCCCTGTGAAATAAAAAACCAAAGGAAGGACAATGAACATATAAAGGAACCCGTTTTCGTTTTCCGTTTGGGCACAAGGAAAAGAACAGAGGCGATAGGGCGAGAGGAGGGGTTTGCTGAAGCATGGGGAGGGTGTACGGGCAAGGAGCCAACTCCGCCCACTTCCCCCATCCATTGAAAGAAGAGAAGAAAGGAACAGGGCCTCCATTCCCCTCTTATTCTTCCTTTCTTGCGTTTTTGTCGTTTAGAGGGGAACAGGAGAAGAGGAGGGAGAGAGAAGAAGAGAGGAGAGATAAAAAGGGTTGCATTTCAATGGGAAGAGCAAAGAAAAGACTAGAAGAGAGATGAAGGGAGAAGAGGGAGAGACACAACAAGGCGCACAGAAAATGGGCAGATAAGAAGAGAGGAAAGGGAATGACTAAGTAAAATGAGGAGTTCTTCAATTTCCCTCCCTATCTCTTATGTTACTTTTCCTTCTTGTGGGGTGTCCCTTTTTCTCTTGAAGATGCAGAAAACGATTGAAAAGGACACCCGTTCCATCGCCCATATGTAGGGAAAGAGAGAGAATCATGAGCATCAGCTGGGCATGCTGCCAATCCAACATGGGCGTCCCTTTTAATCGCATTCTGTGTCCTTTTTTCTCGCTTGAAAATGCAGAAAACGATCCAAAAGCACATCTGTTGCAGGAAGAGAGAAGGAGAGAGGAGAGATACCAAGGATTGCATATTTAATGGGAAGAGCAAGGAAAAGAATAGAAGACAGATGAATAGAGAAGAGGGAGAGACAAAACAAGGCGCAGAGAAGATGGCACTCTTCTTTATCTATTCTCTCTCCCTTGTTTCTCCCTTCCCTCTTTCTTTTCGAAATGAGAAAAACAAAAAGGAAGAACTATGAGAAGGAGAAGGGTAAGGAAAGGAACAGAAGAGATAGGCCGAGAGGAGGAATATGATGGAGCATTGTGGAAAGGTCCACGCGCAGGGAGTCACCCTGTGCTTACCTTTCCACTGCTTTATCATATGAGTTCCTTTCTTGTGTGTTATCAGTTCAAAGGAAGCAGAAGAAGAGAAGGGAAAGGGAAGTGAGAGAGGAAAGATAACAAGGATGCTATGTTTCTCGAAGCGTGCTGCAAGGAATAGAAGAGACAGGAAGCAAGGAGACGGAATCACAATATAAGGCGCAAAGCTGTACATATCATCTCTCCCTTGTCTCTCCCTATTCCCTTTCGAACTAGAAAAAACCATTCTTGCTTTTCACAGATAGGTTCCCTCGCTCCTCTTCAGGAAATCCCCTTTCCCTTATGTTGCTTCTTTGAAGCGAATAAGAAAAATAGCAGATAAGAAGAGAGGAAAGGGTCAATTTCCCTCCCTATCTCTTGTGTTACTTTTCCTTCTTGTGGGGTGTCCGTTTTTCTCTTGAAGATGCAGAAAACGATTGAAAAGGACACCCGTTCCATCGCCCATATGTAGGGATCGAGAGAGAGAGAGAGAGAGAGAGAGAGAGAGAGAGAGAGAGAGAGAGAGAGAGAGAGAGAGAGAGATCAGAATCATGAGCATCAGCTGGGTTTGCTGCCAATCCAACATGGGCGTCCCTTTTAATCGCCTTCTGTGTCTTCAAACGCGCAAAGGGGGCACCCTGAGTGTTTTCTTTTGGGTGTCCTTTTTAAGATGCAGAAAACGATCCAAAAGGACATCTGTTGCAGGAAGAGAGAAGGAGAGAGAAGAGATACCAAGGATTGCATATTTAATGGGAAGAGCAAAGAAAAGAATAGAAGACAGATTAATAGAGAAGAGGGAGAGACAAAACAAGGCGCAGAGAAGATGGCACTCTTCGTTATCTATTCTCTCTCCCTTGTTTCTCCCTTCCCTCTTTCTTTTCGAAATGAGAAAAACAAAAAGGAAGAACTATGAGAAGGAGAAGGGTAAGGAAAGGAACAGAAGAGATAGGCCGAGAGGAGGAATATGATGGAGCATTATGGAAAGGTCCACGCGCAGGGAGTCACCCTGTGCTTACCTTTCCACTGCCTTATCATATGAGTTCCTTTCTTGTGTTTTATCAGTTCAAAGGAAGCAGAAGAAGAGAAGGGAAAGGCAAAAATTGAGCCCAACATTTTAGGGACCAGGGCTTGCGATCTGACTCTTTGGAGCAAAAATCGATTCCAAAATCTTGGGGACCAGGGCTTGCGATGTTACTCTTTGGAGCAAGAAATAAGCCCAAAATCTTAGGGAGCAGGGCTTGCGATTTCACCTTTTGGGGCAAAAACTGGGCCCCAAATCTTAGGGACCAGGGCTTGCGATGTGTCTCTTTGGAGCAAAAGTTAAACCCAAAATCTTAGGGACCAGGGCTTGCGCTTTGACTCTGTGGAGCACAGATCGACCCCGAAATCTTAGGGACCAGGGCTTGCCATTGGCCTCTTTGGAGCAAAAATTGACCCCAAAATCTTAGGGATTCGACTCTTTGGCGCAAAAAATGAGCCCAGAATCTTAGGGACCAGGGCTTGCGATGTTACTCTTTGGAGCAAAAAGTGAACCCAAAATCTTAGGGACCAGGGCTTGCGATTTGACCTTTTGGAGCAAAAACTGGGCCCAAAATCTTAGGGACCAGGGCTTGCGACGCTACTCTTTGGAGCAAAAAAAATGCGCCCAAAATCTTAGGGACCAGGGCTTGCGATGTCACTCTTTGGAGCAAAAACTGGGCCCCAAATCTTAGGGACCAGGGCTTGCGATGTGACTCTTTGGAGCAAAAGTTAAACCCAAAATCTTAGGGACCAGGGCTTGCGATTTGACTCTTTGGAGGGGCAGGGTGGGCATGTAAATTCCTCTTCTCTCTTCCTCTTTCTTTTCCACAAGAAAGAAAACTGAGCTGGACTTGAGAAGGGGGAAGCTAAGAGACCCTCTCTGTCCTACGGTCTATGCTTCTCTCTATGCCTCGCCCTGTCTCACTCCGTCTTCCATTTCTACAAGACATGCCGCCCATAAAAGAAAAAAGAGAGAGCGAGAGAGAGGGAGACAGAACGAGCGAGCGAACCGGAAGAAGAAAGGAACAGGGAAGGAAGACATGCAAACTTCTCTTCTCTCTTCTCTTCTTGTCTTTTTCTTTAGAAAAAACTGATTGGGAGCATACCCTTTTCGAATATCTTACTTGGACGGTGCTTGCGATTTGTCTTTTGGGAGCACAGATTCTTTCAACATCTTAGGGGACAGCACTTGCGAATTGTGTGTTGGGTGCATAACTTCTTGGAGAATCTTAGGGGGACGGACAGTGCTCGCGATTTGTCTGTTGGGAACAAAAACTCTCTAAAAATCTTAGGTCTTCGGCCTGTTTTCTTTCAAGGTTTCTAAAAACTGGAAGTCTCCGGCGCGGGCGTCCTTTTAAGGTGAGTCTTGTTACAGAAAAAAGAAGAAAAGGACACCCTAATTTTGGATACATGTCACATCATGTCTTTCTTTTGTGTCCTCTTGCGCAAAGAAAAAAAACGAATGGAAGGCCGCAGTGGACAAGGGAGCGCCTTTCCTTCAAGGTTTCCAAAACATCGGAGTCGGTGGGTTTCGCTACAGAAACAGGAAGAAAAGGACGCCCGAAGAACTCTCAAAATCTTGGACACCCCTCTTGAAATATAGTTTAAACATTTCATATCTAAATAAACGGGGACAGAAAATGAAACGAACGAAAGGTGAGAGTGGACAAAGAAGCACCTTACTTTTCTTTGAAGGTTTTTAAAAACCCCTCC